GGAGCGGAGGATGATGACCGAGCGATCCTCTACCCCTGCCACGGGATGTCGTCCCAGGTAGGGGCGGGGCTGCCCCAACCGCAGGAGGGAGGTGGGGCGGGGAGGTCAGGTGCCTGGGGTGCGTGTGGGATCCCTAGCAACGTTCCAGGGAAAGAGACTGAGGCCGTCCCACAGCCCCTCGCCTGCTTTTATAAATAGAGTTTTATGGGTGCACAGCCAGCCACGGAAGGAACAGGACAGGCTGGGAGCAGGGCTGTCCCTGGGCGGCCTCCCCTGTGATGATGGGCTGGCCCCGGGAGGTGATGCTCACCCTGCTCCCTCCAGGGTCCTCCCAGCCCAGGGTCACCCTGCTTTCCCGCCCCCCCCCCCCCCCCCGCCCCAGCTCGTCCGCTACAGCACGGAGGGCCTGCTGCAGCTGGGCCCCCTGGGCTCCACCGCCTTCCTGCCCGACTCCAAGTGCCTGGTGGACGACGGCAGGGCCCGCATGCCTGCGCTGAAGAAGTGCGAGGACGTGGCCCGCCCAGCACAGCGGCTGTGGGACTTCACCCAGGTCAGCGGGCGGGGAGACCCGGGAGCCGGTGGGACGGCTGACAGGGGTTGTGTGAGGGCAGAGGAATGTGGGGGCAGCGAGGCCCCGAGTCCCAGGGGGCTGTGAGCACGAGGGGCTTGCATCCCTCACTCCTGGACGCTCTCCCGCCGGCCCCGGCGCCCGTGCTGACTCGGTTTCCCGGCCTCGCAGAGCGGCCCCATCGTGAGCCGGGACACAGGCCGCTGCCTGGAGGTGGAGATGTCCAAGGACGCCAACTTCGGGCTGCGGCTGGTGATGCAGCGGTGCTCGGGGCAGAAGTGGGCCATCCGGAACTGGGTCAAGCAGGGCCGGCACTGACCGGACCGGCCTCCCGCCCCCCACGCAGGCCTGGAGGCCTGGGGAGGAGCCTGGCCTTCCCGCCGACCCCGAGCGGAGCCCCGCGGACCTGGCTGTGCCCACGTCAGCTCAGGCTGGGACCTCACCTGGGCCGCCGGGGGTGGCGGGTCCTGTCCCCGGGAGAGCGAGGGCCCCCTGCGTGCTCCGGAGGCCCGGGGCCCAAGCGCACCGCCGACAGCCGCTCGGGCTCCAAACCACGTGCCTTTTCCACGGTTTTCCTGTCCAGCCGCCCGGACGGCCACCCTCTGCATGCACCACCCTGTACACACCCCGCAGAACTGTCCGTGAACGCAGACGCGGCGGGCTGGCCTCGCTGCCGTGCCCACCCTCCTGTGCCCACCCCGCCGGGCCCGAGAGCGAGCAGAGCTGAGAGGGGAGACTGAGGCCAGCTGCAGGGTCCCAGACGGGACGGCTTCAACCCAATGGACAGCGAATTAGAGGACACAGGCCTGCGTTGCGTCCACCGGGTCGGAGCTGGCCAGCGTCCAGGGGCGGGTCCCTGTCCCGGCATCTCCCGACCCCCCGCCTCGCCCCCCGCCCGGGCCAGGCGCTGACCCTTGTCACTCTAAGGCAGGGGTCAGCCAATGAGGACCCAGAGCCTCTCGCCTGTTTTTATAAATAAAGTTTTATCGGCACATGGCCACGGCCACCTGCTTATGTATTGTGCATGTAGCCGCTGTGGGGCTCCAGGGTGGAGTTGAGAAGCAGGGACACCCCCCCCCCTTCCCCTGCTCACGCGTGCGCGCGCGCACACACACACACACGCGCACACACACACACACACGCACACACACACGCACGCACGCACACACAGCTGTCCTGGGGCCTCTAGGACAAGATAGCACCTTGTGACTGCGGGGAACAGCACAGGAGAGAAACTCCCCCTCTCCCATCACATCCAGGGCCAAGCACTTACTCCAGCCTCCGGCCTGACGGTGGGAGCCTCAGGGGCCCAAGGACCTGGGGCCCCAGGACGGGAGCCCACGGCAGGCAGATGCCAAGCTTCCACAGAGCACGCACCCAGCTCCCCCCGGCTAGAGGGCCTCCCAGGGAGAACTATGGGCACCAACGGTTTCCTGGTTTCGCCCATTCTTTTTTAGAATATATTTTTACTGATGTCAGAGAGGAAGGGAGAGGGAGATAGGAACATCAGTGATGAGAGGGAATCATAGATCAGCTGCCTCCTACACGCCCCCCCACTGGGGATGGAGCCCAAAACCTGGGCCTGTGCCCTGACCGGGAATCGAACCCTGACCTCCTGGTTCATAGGTTGATGCTCAAGCACTGAGCCCCGCCGGCCGGGCATCTCTCCATTCTCACAGCATCACCTGACAAGCAGGCCGGCAGGCTTCCAGGCCACAGGTTTCAGCTGGGAGTGTCCCCAGCCTACCAGGTGTCCCCTCGCTGCGTCCAGGTGGGCCCCGGGCTTCCAGAGAGGACGGGAACCTGGCTGCCCCCCAAGGAAGGCACCGTGGTCATTACCCCAGCCGAGTCTCTTTCAGGGCGAGGAGAAGCCCCTCCTGATACTGCCCAGGACCCCAGGTCCCAGGAGGGCATGTCCCCAAAGGTCAGAGGAGAAAGCAGGACCCCGGGGTGGCGTGTGGGTCTCTGTGTCGCTGGGCTGTGAGGTCACAGGGCCTCCCTGGTTCCCGTGACCTGGGGACAGAGAATAATCCTGCACTGCCCTGGCTGGTGGGGCTCAGTGGATAGAGCGTCGGCCTGCAGACTGAAGGGTCCCAGGTTCGATTCCCGGTCAGGGCACATGCCAAGGTTGTGGCCTGGATCCCGCGTCGGGGGCGTGCAGGAGGCAGCCGATCCATGATTTTCTCTCATCATTGACGTTTCTCTTTCTCTCTCCCTCCCTCTCTCTGAATTCAATAATAATAATAATTCTGCACTTTCACCGTCCCCTGTCCTGGGACCCGAGGCAGGTGCCCCTCCCCCGGCACGCTGTCCACGGGACACCCCTCCCACAGAGCCCCTCCTCCCCGGCTCCTGGGGTCCCTGAGCCCCCCAGCCCTCCGGTTCCTGGCGTCCTGCTGCTGGAAGAAGGTGTCCCACTTTCATCATCCTCAGCAGAGAATTCTGCCGGCTCCAACCCAAATCCCCAAAAAGCCCAGCGGCAGCGGGAAGAGGTGACAGGGTGGCCAAATGCTGCCCTCGGAGGCCTGGCCGCCGGGGTGCGAGCCCCCAAACTCAGAGTCCCTGACACCCCCTGATGCGGCACCAGGTGAACGAGGGCGAAGGCGTGGGGCCCGCGGCGAGCGGCTTCCTCACGTTGATAAGAGCCGCTTCCCCAGACGCCAAAGTTAATCAAACTGACGGCCTCGGGGAGCCGCGCAGTAACTGCTCCGGGATAAACAAGGCGCGAAGCCTCGTCTGTTATTCCTCTTGCTCTTTTAAGCACCCGACAGTCGTTTCGAAATTAAATTAAACGGCTTATCTGTGCTAATGCAGACGGACAGGCCATCTGTCTCCCGCGATGCCGCTGCTGCCGGCCGCGCCCGCAAACATCAGTCATTTCAGGACCGTGCGGGGCCGCGGAAGTGATGCATCTCAGGCCGGGCCCATTCATCCCGAGGTCACAGTCTGTGGGCTGGGAGTTCTAGCTTTTCTTCTTTTTTTTTTTTTTAAAATTGATTTCAGAGAGGGAGAGGGAGAGAGAGATAGAAAGATCAACGATGAAAGAGAATCATGAGTCGGCTGCCTCCTGCACGCCCCCCACTGGGGATGGAGCCTGCAACCCAGGCCTGTGCCCTTAACGGGGATTCTAACCGTGACCTCCTGGTTCATAGGTCAACGCTCAACCACTGAGCCCCTCCAGGCGGGCTCCAGCCCCTCTTTCTCCTCCCGGCCCAGCATGACTGTCCTGCACTGGCCGAGGCAGGTTGACCCTGGCCTTCTCGGATGGCGGCCAAGCTCTGGCTGAACCCCACCCTCTGGACAGGAAGGCGGGGCCCCCCCACCCTCCTGGAGCTGCCTGGAGCAGCGACTCCAGGCCTCGGACACAGAGCCAACCTAGGCGAGAGCTGGGGGGGCTGCTCTCCTCCCACTGCCGAGTGGGGTTCTCTGACCTGTGACCCCAGGAGCCCGGTGAGGCCCGTGTCCTGGCCCAGCTGCAACTTCGTTCAGCCTGAGAGCAGCGGCCACACGCTCCTGGGTCCCAACGATTCAGAGTGAAAGCTGACCCCTGGCTAAGCTCAAGCATAGGCTTGAGGAACGGCCAAGCACTCTGGAAGCTCTATCCTGGAGGTCGGCCCGAGACCCACCCAGCAGGTGGGGCGAGGCGCCCTGCACCCCGAGGCCTCCCCCGACTGACCACGGCCCCTGCACCCCGAGGCCTCCCCCGACTGACCACGGCCCCTGCAGCCGGGGCCTCGACACAGGGACCTGGGAGTCAGGACTCACCCTCCCGCAGCCTGCGGCCCTGACGGTTCTCACGAGCCCCCAGGCTCCCGCTCCGTCCCATGGCTGCTGCACCGTCAGAGGCTCAGGCTCCTGAGCAGCGGCGACCTGGGAACAGCGCCCTGTGGACACGACAGCTGTCATGAGGGCACGCAGTTCCCCGCCTGCTGGAAGGGGCCATGGCCCTCTCCAGCCCCCTGCAGGGGGACAAGCTGTCCTCACGGCCGGGGGGCAGGACCTGCCTCCTGACACTTGTCTGCAGTGGATTTGCCAAGTGACAGTCAAGCCCTGGGGCATCCAGTGGCAGCTCCTTACCCAGGATGCGTCCTTGTCATTCCTCTGTAGCTGGGACTCAACTGCCCAGAGCCCCATTCACCTCCCGGCAGGAGCCGGATGGAGGGAGGGAAGGAGGGGACCCTCCCCCCACAGTAGGTGACCAGTGAAGACTGGCCTCCGTGATGCTTCTCCTAAAATTCTGGACCCAATGTCACAGGAGCAGGGGATGCACAGCAAGGTCTCGGGTCCCTGGCCCCTGGGGGGTCCCTAACGGAGCAGAGCAGGACCCTGGGAAGGAGGGCGAAGCTCGGTGCACACGCCAGGCCAGCGCCTCAGCCACGGGAGGCAAACTCCATTCTACTTTAAGATATATTTTTATTTGTTTCAGAGAAGAAAGGAGAGGAAGAGAGAAGCATCAGTGATGAGAGAGAATCATGGATCAGCTGCCTCCTGTACGCCCCCCACTGGGGATCGAGCCCCTAACCCGGGCCTGTGCCCTGATTGAGAATCAGTCCGTGACCTCCTGGTTCCTAGGTCGACCTCAAGCACTGAGCTCCCGCCTGGACATGATGGAAGGGGGTCTGAGGGTCAGGGCCCCGCCCTTGGGCTGGCTGGTGAGGAGGAAGATGTGTGTGTCGTTGGGGTCAAGCCCGGAAAGGGTGTCTGACACGGCTGGCTCCTCGGGACAGGGAGCCATGGGAGGGGGCCGCCCAGACTGGCAGCAGCCGGAAGACACTGTTGCTGCACTGGAGGGACGGGGGATGGGGAGCGCCAAGTGCTGGGACTGCTCCATGGTGGGGCCACCTGGGAGGAGCCTGAGTCAGGGCCCCCGTCAGCTCTGGGGACGCACCCCTGGCACACGGGAAGGAAGGACCCCCTTGCTGTCCCCTGCTGGGCGGGGCTCTATGGACTGCAGCCCTGTGGGCACAGCTCAGGGGGAGCCAGGCCCCTGCTCGCCCGCCCACAGCCCACCTGAGTCGCTCCTACAAAACCACTTATTGGGGGGAGGGGGGCCCAGGGTCAGCTGAGTGTGAAGTGCTGGGCGCAGAGGTCGTCACACCGGCCCAGCAGGCCCTGCGCAGGGATGAACTCCAGCGGCACCGCCTCGGGCCCCTTCTTCTTCAGGTCTCGCTCGAAGATCTGCGAGGACAGGCAGACGGACGCTCTCACTCGGGTGTCCCGAGCCCGCCCCCCCTCCCCACAGCCCGGCCCTCACCTCGAAGGCAGTGAGCTCCAGGAGGGGCGCGATGCTGGCCTCGGGCACAGACAGCGCCTGGTTGATGACGCTGGCCGCCTTGGACACCTCGGGGTGGTAATGCCGCTGGAGCGCCTGGAGGGCACGCGGGCCGTCACCCCCGTGGCTGGCTCGCCTCCCAGCACCCCACAGTGGGGACAGAGTGGCAGCTCCAGACAGAGGTCGGGGTGCCCCCGGGTAACCATGGCGACAGAGAGGGCGCAGGGACATGTGGGTGTGGGGGCAGGTGGGCAGCTCGGGGTGACGGGACGGGACCGGGCAGCTGGGCCTCACCTGCAGCTCCCACAGGGAGCTCTCCAGGGCTCGGCTCTGGGCTGGGTCCTCCTCGTCGGGGTTGTAGGGGTCGGCGTCCAGCTCTAGGGACAAGACAGACCCAGACCTGTGCTCCCCCTGCCCCTGCCCCTGCCCCGCACCGGCCGCCAGTGGGGCCCAGCCCGTTGGCGCTCACCAGGGCCCCGCGGCCGGTGCACAAGGACGCGGCAGGCTGGGTGTCGACGCAGCAGGTTGCAGATGAAGGGCAGGACCATGAGCAGGGCCTCGGGTGGCGCCGTCAGGGCCAGGCGGGCCAGGCGCTTGGCAAAGGCAGCCACCAGGTAGGCGGGCAGGTGGCTGGAAGGAAAAGCGGGTGTGAGACCTCGCACCCTGCACACCAGCCCCTCCCGGCCCGTCTGCAGCCCCGGGGGATGGGCTGGGGCCCAGGGGACGGGGGCCCTGTGCCTCCTGACTCACGAGGACGACAGGAAGAGGTCGGCCAGATGGAAGAAGCGCGCCCGGTACTTGACATGGAAGACGGACGGGTCCAGGAGGCCGTAGAGCTTGCGGTAGAAATCGGGGTACTCCCTGTGGGTGTGGGAGTGAACGAGGGAATGAGGCATGTGGGGGAGCAGAGTGAGTAAGGGCGGCACGTGGGGGTAAAAGCACGAAGCAGACAGGTCAGGACCCAGGGAACCACAGTCCCATGGGCTCAGCCCTCTCCCACCCTCCCCCAGGGGCTCCTGAAGCTGCCTGACCACTGGTCAGAGCTGGGGGTGGGGTGCGGTGGGGTTGGGGGCAGAAGAGAGGTCTGCACTCCCCCCAGATGGACACTCACAGGTTGTGCTCATGAATCAGGATAAAAAGTCCATTCAAGGCCAGGAGGCTGATGGCGCCCCCTGCAGACAGACACACAGCCATGGAGCTGCAGCCCAGCCTGCACCCCCAACCGCAGGGCAAGTCCAGAAAAGCTGGAGGCCACACTCCAGGCTCCTGGAGCCAGCTGCCCACAGGCTCGCCCACCCCGCTCCGTCTCACAAGGGAGGAAAGGGACCCCCAGCACCCACCCCACCTGGTCGGCCCCTGTCGCAGCCCCTCTGGGCGCCCCGCTCACCGATGTCGTAGGCGCGGGTGAGGAAGTCGATCATGAGGCTGGGCTGGGCCAGGTGGGGCAGGATGGACTCATGCATGATCACCAGCACCTTCTTGTAGAGGCTGAGGGGCAGCTGTGTGTGTATGTGTGTGGGGGGAGAGCGGGTCAGGGTTGTCTGCCACGCCCCAAACAGGCCAAGACCCAGACTGGAGCCTGCTCCCCCCAGGCCCCTACCTTGTGCTTGAGGAAGCTGAGCCACATCAGCTGGAAGGCTTTCCTGTGCTCCTGTGTGTGGGAGAGGGTTTCGGGCTGCATGTGCTGCTGCCCAGCCAGGTCCTCCCCCGCCCGCCCCGCCCTGCCCCCCCAGCACCCGGGGTCCTCTGAGTGACCCAGGGGCTGTCCAAGCCAGGAAAGAGGCGGCTGCCTTCTCCCCAAGTCCCACACCTGCTGCCTGAGGCCGCACCCAGGACGGGGCCAGTTCCCAGGGAGGCCCCCGCCCTCCCTCTGGGGCGTCTCACCTTCAGATGAGTGACCTTCCACTTGTCCGACAGCTCTGCGAGGGAGAGGGCAGGGAGGCGACGGCTCGTGAGGCTGGGAGGGTCAGGGCCCTGGTGCCCGCCCGCCCGCCCACCCAGGACGCTCACCTGTGTGCCGCACGTAGAAGTTAGCGATGTCGCTCTCCTGGCGGGGCAGGCTCACGGCGGACAGCAGCGTGAACACGTTGTTCCAGAAGGTGAGGGGCACCTGCCGGAGGCCGGGCCTGAGCGCCTGGGCTCCGCATGCCTGCACCCCTCCTCCCCCAGCCGTGGGGCTCCCGCCAGCTCACCTCGGGGTGTGCGTTGGCGACCCTGGCCACGGTGTCTGCGGCCGCCTGCATCGCGTGGTAGCGCACGTCGTCCTGCTCCAGGTACTGGCAGAACTGGGAGAGGAGCAGCGAGCAGTCCTCCTCCAGGGACAGCAGGCCGTCCACCACTGCCTGGCCGGGCATGGGGAGGGCAGGTGAGCGCTTCTCCAGCCCAGATGGCCATCCCGGGCTGAGCCCACACAGCACAGCCCCACAACCAAGGACGGCCCCAGGAGCCCCCCCAGCGGCAGCCTACCCACCCCCCTCCCCGAGGCCGGATGGGGCAGAGCATCACAACAGCTTCCCATCGCGGCTCTGGCCAGAGGTCCGCCGGGACCCCCAGGCGCCCCTCACCTTGAAGAGCTGGCGGGGAAACAGGTAGCTGCCCTCCCACTTGGGTTTCTCCAGGGGGTGCGCCCCTTCCAGCTGCACGAGCTTCATGAGGGTACTGAGGGCCAGCTCCTGGGGAGAGGGGGGCAGTGGCCGCGGTGCCCCGGCAACACGCCCCTTCCCATGGACCGGCCCACAGAGCTCCCCCGGAACTTCAGCCTGACTGTCCACGAGAGAGGACAGAGCCACCCACCCAACCAGCCTACAAAAAGGAAGCCAGTGCGGGAAGGCAAGCGACCAGCCTGTGTGTGCACGGAGAGGCTCGTGGTTGGGGTGCAGGGACGCTCAGGGCGAGAAGAGAAGGTCGGGGTCCCCAAGACTCACCTTGACCTGGAAGGAGGGATGGGCCAGGAGCTCGGCCAGGCGGTTGCAGCAGCTCTGGTAACGGTGCCGCATCCACACCTTGTACTTCCGCGTGGCCCCCTGGGACCCTGCGTGGGCGAGGGTGGTCAGCCCAGCCAGGCACACGAGTGGGAACCATAGGCCACCATGGCCCCATGGCCCCCAGCCGGGGAGAGAGAGAGAGAGAGAGAGAGGGAGAGAGCATCGCCTTCCCCAAGGGTAAGCCCTGTGAAGAGGTTTTGGGGGGCTCATCACGTCTCCCTCCAACCTCGCCAGAGACGAGGCCTGGGCCCCCAGGACATTCATTCACCTGCCATGACGGTCTCCTCCGGGGGCAGCTGGCCCACGAACAGCTCCCCCCGCTCCAGCAAGGCCCCGAACAGGCGGCTGCAGGCGCGCACCGCATCCTGGATCTCCTCCGGGTCCTCCGACTGCGGGGAGAGGCCGGCCTCAGGGAGCCCCGCGGGACACGGAGGCCCCACGCACGTCCCCACTGGGGCGCCCGCCCCATCGGACCGCAACCTTGACCCCGGCGGGGCTCTCCGTCCCACCTCTGCCGAGCCTCCCACCGGACCCTCCGGTCCGGGAGCCCCGCGGGACGAGAGAAGACCCCCCGGTGAAACCCTGGGCCCCGCCTTGCAGCGTCTCTCGCCGTCCGAGCCCGGACTCCCCCGCGGGGCCCGCCTTTCGGCCTCGGACCCCGCGATCGCTCCGGTCTCCCGCCCGCCCGCCTCACCTGCAGCACCGCCAGGATGTCGAACACGGCGTTGGCCTCCGCGCGGTTCGCCAGCACCGCCTCCAGCAGGCGGCCCAGCTCCCGGCGCGCGCTCCGGGGGCCGCGGACGCGCTCCATGCCGCCGCCGCCCCACGCGGGAGAAGCCCCGACTCACTCGCCGCCTTCCGGCGCAGCCCTGACGTCACCGCCCGCGCCTCCGCGTCTGCGCTGCACACCGGGACGCGCCCCGCCCCCTGCCGGCGCTCCACCCATGAGAGACTGGGACGCAGACCCCGCCCATGACGTCATAGACGCGCGCCGGAGTCGCGCCTTGCGGTTCCAGCCGCGGCCGCAGGCATGGCGCTCTTCTATGTAGCGCGGTACGCGGGGCCCGAGGCGGCCGGGGCGGAGGCGGAGGCGGAGGCGGACGGCCGGGCCCGCGCGCTGCTGGAGCGGCTGCAGTGCCGGGCCCGAGAGCGGCAGCGGCAGCAGCAGTCGCGGCCGCAGGAGCCCGAGGAGGCCGCGCAGACCGAGGGCGCGGCGAGCAGGCGGCGGCGGCGGCGGCCGCGGAGGTGCAAGGGCGGCGGGGCGCCCGGGAGCCCGCAGGCCCCGCGCAGCAAGCGGCGGAGAGAGGCGGGCGAGGAGGCCGGCGCAGGTGGGCCCGCGGGGCGCGGGGGGGACGGAGCGCGGACCCGGGACCTGTGTCGGCTGGAGGCTGACGCGCCGCCCGCTCGGCTTCCGCCCGCAGAGAGCAGCGAGGAGGCGCCGCGGGAGGGCAGCGTGGACGCCGAGGCCGCGGGGCCGCCGGGGACCCCAGGAGAACAGCCCTCCGGCGAGGCCCGTGGGCCCCCCGCCCACGCTCTGCTGCTCGGGGGCTTCGGGAGGAGCAGGGCGCCCAAGGTGAGCGGCCTGGAGGTGGGAGGGCCGGGCCCGGGTGGGAGCTGCAGGGCTGGGTGGCTGTCAGTCCAGCGGGGCTTCGCGGGCGAGTTGGGAGGAGGGCGCCTGCGCCTCCGGGCGTCCATCGGTGAGCAGCGGAGGAGCTGCGTCTCAGCTCGCATCTTGCAGGTTTTTTTGTTGATCATCCTCACCCGGGGACATTTTTTCCATCTTTTTTCTTTTTCAGAGGGAGTGGGAAGGGCTAGGGAGAGAGAAACACGGATGTGAGAGGGACACATCCATGGGTTTCCTCCCCCACGCGCCCCTCCCGGCCTGGGCAGGGATGGAGCCTGCAGTCCAGGCCCCTGGCCCCGGCATCGAAGCCGTGACTCTTCCATGTGTGGCCTGACGTTCTAGCCGCTGAGCAACACCAGCCAGGGCCTGTTTCTCCTGGTCTGGTCGCTGTGGCGGGGACTTCCGGTGCTGTGTTGAATAGGAGTGGTCGTTCCTGCTCTCCTAGGGAGTGTGACCTGGATCATGACGCCCGTGGCGTCGGCACAGGGTTATGTCAGGGCACGTGTGGGGTCCCCCCATGAGCCATCTGGTTAAGGTGGGGCGGGGTGTGTGCCAGGTAGAGGCTGTGGGGCAGCGATGAGCTTGGTGTGTGAGGACAGAGGTTTAAACGTCTGGGGTGTGGCCACTGATGGAAGTGAGGTCAGGGCAGGTGAGTGCCTGGTGTCGGGGGCCTGGCAGGTTCTGCCCGGTGGGGACGTGGGGACGTGAGGGTAAGCCTGCAGGCGGATCTGCTCTGGGAGCGGCGCCCAGATGTGTCTCCTAATTCCTCAGAGGCTGTGTGGGACGTGGGTCGGGGGAGCCGAGGGGGAGCCAGGCCGCCAGGGAAGCCTCTGTGCCACGCTCCCGGGCGAGGTGGGCAGCAGTCACCTGGCCTCTGTAAGAAACCTTCTTACCTTTTGCAACAGGTCCAGCCTTTCCTGCCGACGTGGCTGGCCCAGCCGAGCTGTGTCGGGAGGAACGTCACTGAAGACCTGGTGCCTATCGAGGACGTCCCGGAAGTCCACCCTGACCTGCAGAGGAAGCTGCGCGCCCACGGCATCTCGTCCTACTTCCCAGGTGCTCCAGCTGCGGGCCGCGGGCCGGGGTTCTTCCGGAGCCGTGCCAGGCCCAGGGGCAGCCCTACACGGACACAGCGTGTGGTGCTCCCTCGGGAGAGCGCTCCAGCTTGGAGGTCACAGATTGGCCCTGGTCCCTGTGCTGACGGGGCGCTCCTGCACAAACCTGACCGGCCCTTCTCCCCCTGCAGTCCAGGCGGCGGTCATTCCTGCTCTCCTAGAGAGTGCGGCCCAAGGGTTCCTCGTGGCCAGAGGCGGCTACCAGCCCAGGGACCTCTGTGTTTCTGCCCCGACGGGCAGTGGGAAGACCCTGGCCTTTGTCATCCCCGTGGTGCAGGTGAGCGCGAGGGCCCCTCCCTCCTAGCAGGCTGGTGGGCGGAAGCCAGCTCTGCTCACACAGTGGCCCTCCTTGCCCACAGGCCCTGCTGCAGCGAGCTGTGTGCCAGGTTCGCGCCCTGGTTGTGTTGCCCACTAAGGAGCTGGCCCAGCAGGTACGAGGACCCCGTGCCTGGGGTCACCCCAGAGTTCTTTCACTGGCGTGAACCCTCAGGTCAGGTGGTGACACGGCCTCTTGCAGGTGAGCAAAGTATTCAACGTCTACACCGATGCCACGCCTTTGCGCGTCGCCCTGGTCACCGGGCAGAAGTCGCTGGCCAAGGAGCAGGAGGGCCTCGTCCAGAAGACGTAGGTCCTGCTGGGCGTGGGCCCTGGGGAGGCGGGTGCAGGAGGGCATAGCCTCGTGTGGCCCTGGCCGCAGGTGCCCGGATCAAGGGCAGTGAGGCCTCGGCTGAGCGCTCTCTGCTCGGCAGGGTGGACGGCTTCCGCTGCCTGGCTGACATTGTGGTGGCCACTCCCGGCCGCCTGGTGGACCACGTGGACCAGACCCCGGGGTTTAGCCTCCAGCACCTCCGCTTCCTGGTAGGCTGCCCACCCACCCAGGGGAGGCCCGGGCCGGCTGACGCCAGCTTCACCCACCGGAGCCCGGCCTCCTCGCCTGCAGGTCATCGACGAGGCCGACCGGATGATCGACAGCATGCACCAGTCTTGGCTCCCCCGGGTGGTGGCGGCGGCCTTCCCTGGGGAGGGTGCCAAGGACCCCTTCGCTCTGCTCCAGAGACGGCAGCCCCAGGTCGTGACTGCTGCCAGGTACTGGTCCCCAGCTCGGCCCTGCCCTGCCCTGGGGGAGCGCCCGGTCCGGTCTGTCTGGGTCAGGAGGGCGGGCGGCCAGGCCCAGGCTCGCCCCAGCGTCTGTGCCCTTCCAGCACCTGCTGCCCTCAGATGCCTCTGCAGAAGCTGCTCTTCTCGGCCACACTGACCCAGAACCCCGAGAAGCTGCAGCAGCTGGGCCTACACCAGCCCTGGCTCTTCTCCACGCGGCCAGCGCGCGGGGGTCCCGGGGACGCCGATGAGGACGCGGACTCGGGTGGGAAGTACACCTTCCCTGCGGGGCTCTCGGTGAGCTGGGTGCCGGGGGGGGGGGGGGGGGGAGGGTGGAGCCGGGCGCGGGGGCCGAGCCAACCGCATGCCATCTCCCCAGCACCACTATGTGCCCTGCCGCCTGCGCGCCAAGCCCTTGGTCGTCCTGCACCTGATCCTGCACCTGGGCTTCTCCAGGATCCTCTGCTTCACCAACTCCCGGGAGAACTCCCACAGGTGAGGCTGGGGTGAGCCGCGCAGGGCGGGTGCGGGGAGGGGGTGCTGGCCCTGGCCCACCCGGCTTTCCCCCCCAGGCTCTTCCTGCTCGTCCAGGCGTTCGGGGGCGTGACGGTGGCCGAGTTCTCCTCCCGCTACGGGCCCGGCCAGAGGAAGGGGATCCTGAAGCAGTTTGAACAGGGAAAGATTCAGCTGTGAGTGCCCTGGGAGGGTGCTCGCTCCTGGGGTCTGCCTGGCCCCCAGTAGGGGGCGGTGTTCCAGTCTCAGGCGGGTCCCACACCCCTTGTTTCTCCACAGCCTCATCAGCACAGACGCCACCGCCCGTGGCATCGATGTGCAGGGGGTGCAGCTGGTGGTGAACTACGATGCCCCCCAGTACCTGCGGACCTATGTGCACCGGTGAGGGGCTGTGGTTGGATTGGGGTGCGGGGGAGGGGGGAGGCTGGAGGGCTGGGGGCCCCTCTCGAGGTGTCTGTGCTTGGTTTCAGGGTGGGAAGAACTGCTCGTGCTGGGAACACTGGACAGGCCTTCACGCTGCTCCTCAAAGTGCAGGTCAGACGAGGACTGGTCGGGAGGCGGGGCAGGGGAGGTGGGAGCCCTTCCCGGAACTTCATGCTCCCCCCAGGAAAGGAGGTTCCTCCGGATGCTGACTGAAGCCGGGGTCCCCGAGCTGGAGCGGCACGACACCCCCAGCGAGCTCCTGCAGCCGCTGGTCCCACAGTACGAGGAGGCCCTGTCCCAGCTGGAGAGGGCCGTCAAGGTGAGGCCCTGGCGGTTCTGGGAGCACTGAGGCTGCTTGCAGCAGGACTCAGACGGAGAGCAGGTCCCGGGCCTTTAGCTTCCTGGCTGAGGGCAGGAGACCCTGGGGCTGGGGTGGAGGTGCAGGGCCCGGGAGGGGGGCTGGGCGGGTCCACACTAGCGAGGGGCCTGAGCTGTGCTGCTTCCCCTCCCCCAGGAAGAATGGAGGCAGAAGGCGGCCTAGGCCGGGCCCCGAGGACGATGGGACGGAGCCTGGGCGGACAGGCCTCCGGGAGGAGCCCCGGCGCACTGCCTGCTCAGCCCACGCCCGGGCGAGGCCCTTCGTCACGGCACCAGGCCTGGCCGGAGGCGGCCGAGCACACGGGTCCGCCTCTGATCGGTTGCTCCTCTGGGGCTGGAGCGGATGGTTCGGACGGCCCAGAACCGACAGGTGGCTGAGGTTGGCCCTGAGCCGAGTTTTGGGCTTCAGCTCGTCTACACCTCAGGGTGCTCCCATCTCGCTGGGAACGTGCCCCCAGCCTTACGTCAGCCCCCACCACGCCGCGTGCAGAGTGACGAGCACGGGAGGCTCTGGTGACTGTGACTGCAAACCGGCTTCTGAGCAGACCCCCTGCTCACGCTGACGCGAAGAGACTGAAGAAGGGACGCGCTGGTGTCTGCCTCTGCGCCAAAGTTCATCATTCACTCGAGCAAAACAGCTGGTCCCAGGCTCGCGGTAGACACGGGGCAGGGACGGGGCAGGAGGCAGAGGCACTGAGGGGCCCTCCGCAGAGGCCGTCCGAGTGCTGGCACTTGTCCTGAGCCAGCTCACTCGCCTCGCGGTCCCGCCCACACCACCCCTGGCACACCAGGCCCGGGCACAGGGCCGATGGATGGAGCCGCCGAGCGTGGAGCCGGCTCGCTCATGCCCTGGCATCTGGAATGCAGGCCCCTGCAGCCATCACGCCGCCTCCCTCCGCGGGGGCCTTGAGCCTGGTGGGGGCCTGCGTCTGAATTGAGGCTGCTGGTTCGGGGCCTGGCCTGCCCGGAACCCAGTGTGTGGGGAGGTGGTCGTGGCTGCTGCTGCGCTGCCTTCTGTGGGGCCGCGGGAAGCACCTGAGCCTGAACGTGGGGGACCCTCTTGCAGGACGACGCTGCTCTCAAGGTCTGAGGAAGGTTTCCCTCTGATTTCCTGAACATTCTTACTCGTGAACAGAGCTTTGGCTTTGCCTTTGTAACCAAAGGCCTATTAAAGTGATTTCCCCGACAAAAAAAATGCGCCCCAATACGAAGTTAAGAAGTGCTGGGAGCCCTGGCCGGTTTGGCTCAGTGGATAGAGTGTCGGCCTGTGGACTGAAGGGTTCTGGGTTTGATTCCAGTCAGGGCACAGGCCCAGGTTGTGGGCTCGATCCCCAGTAGGGGGCGTGCAGGAGGCAGCCGATCAGTGATTCTCATCATGGATGTTTCGATCCCTCCCTCCCCCTTTCTCACAAATCAGTAAAAATATATTTTTAAAAAGTGCGGGTGTGAGACCTGTGGCTGTGCTGGAGTCCTCCGCTGCGCAAGGGGGTCGCAGCCCAAGCTTGTTTCCTGTCCCCCCTCAGCCTGCACCCACCACCTGCTGGGGAGCCTCACCAAGCCCTTTGCCAAGTGCCTGAAAGAAACCACCAGCATCTTCCACTACTTTTCTACGAGACAAGACGAAAAACATATGAAAAAGACTTTTATTATGCCTGGGGGGGGGGTATCAGTGCTCTTCAAAACCCTACTGTTCAAGTACAAATGATTGTTTACAAAGTATTTACATCCTCAGTTTTAAACACAACAACTATTTGGTTACAACACTTAACAAAAAACCCTAAAGGTCACAAAAGGAACGCATCTGCACGAGCGGACCAGCTCCTGCTTCCCGGGGCGCTTTGCAAACAGCCCACCTTCACCGGACCCATCTCCTAGGGAAGCCTGCTCCTGGGGGGCCAGCTCGAGTGGTTAGTCCTGCTGGGTCTGCATCCGAGAGCCCCCTCGTTAGTGTCGGCAGAAGCCTGGTCCTAGGCAGCACGGGGTCCACCAGCAACGATGGGGGAGGCCCCAGAACAGCCTGCGAAACCCACTCTAACTCTTCAGTGTGAACTTTGGAAGGAGGGTTTTTACCTCCGTGACCACTGACGAGCAGGTCGGGTGACCTGCGATGTGACGAACCCGGCAGAACAGGCCAATCTCCTGTCGCACATCTCGCATCCGAGTGGCTGAAGGAAGCGCCTGAGCAAGGCTCTCCCCGCAGAGCAGCTGCGCTCCACCCGGCCGGCAGTCTCCGTCTCTGCTGGCTCTGCCCAGGGCAGCCGAAGTGCGTCACCATTGCCCCTGAGGGACGGCCAGCACCCTCGGGAGGACGAGAACGCAAACTGCACAACAAATAAGCCCCAAACACGACCTCTGTGCTGTGGCCTTGCACACGAGGATGAAGGCAAAGGGCAGGCAGTCCCCCAGTGACAAGGCGGAGCCCTCTCGGCGCCGTCCTGCCCGCCGGCTGGTAGCGAACAGAACCCACAGGCCTGGCTGACGGTCCTGTTTCCATAAGTTCAGCTCACTGAAATGTTAAATAAATACCTTCCCTTTTCAACACTTGATTTTTTACTTATTCCTCCAAATGTCGCACAAGAGTTTCACTCACTGGCTCCCCTAAGTGTCGCCGCCCTGCTGTCCACACAAACGGAGGGAAACCAACACCGGACAGAAGCCGCCCCTGCCAGTGAGCGGTTCAGTGGGGAGGGGAGCAGAGGAGATGGTCACGCGTCTCCCAGGCGCTGCAGCTCATCTCCGCGCACACAGGCCTGACAGCCGATCTGGACCGAGTCGGATGCCCGAGCAAGGAGGCGTCCTTGGAGTGCAGTGTGCGTGGCGAGCACTGCAACCGCTCTGCCATCTCGCCAGAGAAGACACAGATGCAAGTGCAAACATGGGGCCTCTACCCTCAGCCGTGGTTCACCCTTACACAACCACGATGGCACGTGCCTGCTTGTGTGGGAGGCCCTGGCCCAGAAACCGGAGGTCTCGTCTATGGGAAAGAGCCACAGCAGACCAGCTGTGTGAGCAGGCGCCCAGCTCTGCAGACAGGCCGGGCCGGGCTGGGCCTGAGCCAGGGGAGCGGTGACAGGCACCTCCCTGAGCCCCACGCCGAGCGCACACACGCGCACACGTGGCTGTGACACCGGCCTGGGCCCGACCAATGGAGACCAGGGCTCAGCTCCTGGAGCCGCCTCGGCACCATGTCCGAAAGCCGGGAAGGACGGAGGTGCGTGGGGATGGGGAGTGGCCGGAAGGCGCCATCTGCATGGAAACAGTCACACTGGCTGCTCTTTGGAATGAAAGTTCAACCCCAGCGTCGTCCCTCCACGCAAGCTGGTACGCAGAACTGCCTCGATGGCACGAGGACCAGATGGCTCCTTTGAAGGTCCCAGAAGTCACACTTTGAGAAAGAAGCAGCCACCCTGGCCGTCCCGGATCTGAGCTGACCGACCTCAGGTGGCCTCTCCTCCAAGGACCAGGATGCGTTTTGTGTTGGGTCTAAAGAACCACATAGAGGCCAACGCTGTGCTGCCCGAGACCGTGTTTACGACTCACGGGTCTGAGTCGCCCCGTGATGTGCAGCCCTGGAGGCCCTGGAGGGTGGAAGGACCCGGAGAAGCTGCGGCCCGAGCGTGCTGCACGGGCGGCTCCCCTCGCCGCAGCGTCGGGCTGGACCCCACAGGACACGGCCCCCAGTTCCACAGGACGCAGCCCTGCCCTTCTGGCCCCACGGAGCCCTGCTCGGTGGCGGCCCGAGGCGCCCGCTTTCCTGACTAGGGGCACGGAGGCTTGGTGGGCGTCTTTAACCGGACGGCAGGGACACGCATCTGTAGCTTGGGCTGCTGGTTGGGGCTGTCAGCGCTGGCCGGCACCTGCGTGGGGGTGGGGACGCCCGGGGTCTGCAGCTGGGCCGCCGCCGTGGTCACCACCTGCTGCTGCAGGAGCTTCTGCTGGACGGCCTGGGCGGCCGCGGTCACTGCAGGGATCACCTGGACCTGCGGGCCCGCTGCGGCCGCCTGGGTGAGCGTCACCGTCTGCGGGGAAGCCTGAGTCAAAACAGAAACACGTCACCGAGGCGTGCAGACCGAGCGGCAGGACAGACCCCAGGCTCTGGGCCGGGAGGGGGTAGGAACAATGAGCACGGATTCTTTGGAGAAATGTGAGGACTACCCAGCATGCCGAAGCATGGCCTCTGGTCTTTAACCCAACAAGTAGAAAACGAAACCTTCCGGGCTAGAGCGATGCCCTGGGAGAGGCGAGGGCCGAGGCCCGGGACTGGTGGTGGTGACATTCAGCCTTTACTGCCAGGCTGTCCCTTGAGCCACGTGGCTTGAACGTGCACGTGGAATCTGCTAAGTGGGCGGCAGTCGAGGCTGGGGCAGGGGGTGTGTGGAGGGCAGACTAAGTCAGACACTCTCAGCTCCTCGGCTGGTGCGAGCCCTACACCCACGTTGTTCAAGGGTCAACGTCTGATTCCTTGAAATCCACACTCCAGTGAGATTCTGAAAACAAAGGTGTCTGAGTGGAGATCAATGTCACAGCCGCCGTCAGGCAGCCAGGAGGGGAGTCATGACGCCTTTAGCTTCCCTGCCACAAAGGACACCTGGCATTGCTGGCTGAAGCTCTGATCCTAGAGTGAGTTCCTCTGGTGCCTTTGGCCCTGAGTCTGTTGGGGTCTTGTGTTATGAAAATCAAAGTGATTCTCTAATCATCAGAATTCTGCTTCCTCAGGAGGAAAACCAAGAACTCTTTCCATTTGGAAACATGGAGGCTGCTGAGAAGCCCCCGTGGGAACTTCCCAGGCGGCTGCCATCTCCGCACCTACCTGCTGGGAGGCGGAGGCGACCTGTGGGAGGCCGGCCACCGGGCTCTGCTGCTGCACAACCTGAGGGAGCTTGGCCACCTGGGACAGAACGAGAAGAGCCACGTGCAGAGCTCAGAGCGTACGCACAGAAAGATGCCCTTTCCTCCCTTCTCCGTTATTAATTTCAAAAAACCAGGTGACAGGAAAGAGCCTTCCCCAAGTGGGCTCGCCTGGCCCAGAGAAGACCTCACGCTGCGTGCTGGCCCCTCCTGGTCTGCAGCCCATGTAACCTGGTCTCACACTTTCTATGAGGACGAAGGAGGGACTGACACCGCCTAGCCGTTCACGGGTCTCAGAGCCCCTTCTTCAAGTCTGGGCGACACTCCAGGTTGGGAGGGGGGCCCACAGGTGAAGTGCCTCCGGCCAAGGAAGCTGTGTGGCCCCTCCCTGTCCTGGGCGCCTGCGGCCCCTGCAATCCAACGCGTGCGCTGGCTCCTGCTCACCTGGATCTGGGTCTGCACCTGCTGCGTCCCGGCCAGCTTCTGCGCCTGGGAGATGGGGGTGGTGAGGAACTGGGTTTTCAGGGCTGGCTGGGTGGCATAGGTGACCTTCTGTGGCTGGCCCTGCGCGGCAATCTGCTGGGCAGTGATCTGAAGAAAGAGACGCCCAGGGTTAGAGCCACAAGGCTGTCCCCTCTCAACTGCAGCCCCGGCCACTAGCCTCTCCTGAGTCCCCCCGCCCGGAGGTCAGCCTACTGAGAAGGAGTTTGCTTTGGGGCCTCAATCAGTTCAGTGCTGCCTCCCCCAAACTTCCGAGTCAGACCCTGATAGGCCTCCTTCACGTTAGGATGTCTCCCCCTCCCGCCTCGAGCACACACAGGACCAGGTCCCCGCCTGGATCCTTGGTTCTGTGCACTAGTGCCTAGGCGGGCACACACTGTGACCTACATCTGCTTCCCCAAACCCTGTGGCCCTTATCAGCCATGCAGCCCACAGCCCGAGTCCTCACTATTCCCCAAAAGCCCGCAGTGAACACAGCTCCCCATCTCAAACCTCCCTCCCCCCGGGGCCTTGGAGCAGCACCAACATCCAGGCCACCCTCTGTGCAGCCCAAATGCACGCCCTTGGGGTCCCCTGTGTGGGTGTCAGGCAGCGAGGCAGGGCCCATTCGGACCCCGTCCTCTGCGCCCTGTGCCTAGTGGCAGGGCCCGGCTCAGCAGACAGGGTGGCCCCAGAGCCCGCAGGAGCCAGTACCTTCTGCTGGACGGCGGCCGGGCCCGGGGCGGCCTGCGGCTGGATGGCCTTCTGCTGCTGCACGGCCTGCTGCTTGAGCTTCAGCAGCTGCTGCACGTGCACGGGCTGGGCCACCACGGTCTGTCCTGCAAACACCATCAAGTGGGTGAGTCAGGCGCGGAGGCAGGCTCGCCCTGCGTTCCCCGCGCTTCCCTGAGTCACTGCCTGCTACAGAGAACGGCACCCTGACCCTGCAAGACAGACAGGCACCTCCTACACACACCGAGATGCTCTTCGGCCACCAGGACACTCAGAGCAGCGACTGTCAACTTTCCCACCTCCTGGCACACCAACAATACTGCTCACCGAACTGACAGAGAAACAGGTAGTTTTGATGCCTTCACAGCGATGGCTGTTACTGTTGTCAGTTTTTTACTTGACAATCGAAGGCAGGGTGGGGAACGTCCAGCCCACAGACCAAATGAGGCCGTGAAATCATTGGTCTGGCCGTGCCAAGGCCTTAGGGGTGAGTTAATGAAATGTCTGACCAGATGTCGCAGGCTCACGTTTAAGTTGACAGTCTGGCCTGTGAACGATGCTGAAGTACCCAATGGCCCTGGGCAGAGCCAGGCTCCCACCCCTGCTCTCGGGGAAGGAGGTCAGTGCCCCGATTACATGACCAGTTACTGCCGGTTGGAGCATCCCTGGGGCACAGCAGCTGCCAATCGCTGAGATAAACGGGTGGGAAGTTCCCAATGTTAATGGTTAAATAGAGGGTCAGAACTTGTACTCGGGCAATGCGGCGAGGCTTCCTCTCGCGTGCACCACGGCCCTCGGCATGCCGTGTGGCGAGGGAGCCAGCCCCTCCCGGCCCCGCGGACGTGGGCAGGCACCTGTGGCTTTCTGCGGCTGCCCGATGGCCACACTGATCCCAGCAACGTTCATGGGCAGGGTCGTGACGCCCGGCGAGGAGACCACGGCCGCGGGCACGGACACCACCGGAGGCTTCGCCAGGGCCACCTGGGCCGGCTGGGGCGCCTGTGCCTGCATCTGGCCTTGTGCCTGCAGCTGCGACGTGGGGACCCGCGTCTAAACAGGAAGAAGGGCCCAGAGGTTCAGCAACTTGTGTGTCTGCAAACATCGCCCACAGGAGGCCACGTGGCGAGACGTGGACGGGGCCGCAGGGTGGGAAGTGGCAGCCAGCGAACGGCTAGCATCTCCCGGAGGCAGACCCACGCTGTCCAACCATCACCAGCGCACGGGACCTAAAGCTCCTCAGTCACATGGCATCCGCACCTCCTGTCCTTCGAGCCGCCCAACTGCGCTGTGCCCCACAGACCCTCTCGTTCCTAGTCCTCCCTAACGATCACCCGTGAAGGCCAACTTCCTATCACACTGTGTTCAAGCCCTTTCTTGTCACGTGAACACGGGTGGAACTACACGTGCTCGCGGGCTTTACCCGCTCTGTCCCGTCTGGCAGAGCCGAGCCAGCGAGCGGGTGACTCCCTAGGATTTGGGCAGGTGACCTGTGGGGTAACATTAAAACACCCCCTCCTGCCTGAGCACCCATCAGGGGGCAGGTACCACCTCGGGCAGGTGATGCCAGCTGCACCCGTGCCAGGATGGGGTCTCTAAGCCGGCCACCTGGCCTGACCGGAGGGCCTGCATCGACACGGCGGAACGTGAAGGACCTCCCGACTCCCCTTCGTCTCCGGGACTTCCCAGGTGCTGAGCCTCCTTAGAGCAGCCGCCCCTGCTCCGGGCCCTGCCGGCTCCTCCCCGTCTCCTCTCTGCAGGCCCCGCAGGACGGTGACCCTCCCGCCTGCCCGTGTGCTGTCCCCGACGTAGACCCTGCCCCCCTCCAGGTCGAGCTTCTGCCCTCCTTTCCCCGAGCGCTCAGCCATGAGCTGTGACACTTCAGTTCCAGGAAATACAATCACTTAAGTGCTCCCCAGGGGCCGTTTCATCCTCTCCAAGGAGAACAGGATCTTGGGGGGAAGCACACCTACTGGACTCCCAAGTCCACCCCCACCCCTGCGTCCACGCAGCAGGGCCGTGCAGGAGCGTGGGAAACCAGCGCTTCGGGGACTTACGAGCCGGGCCACCTGGAGGTTGGCCACGGTGGTGCCCGTGAGCAGGGCCCCGGGCCGCGAGGCGGTGACGGTGGTGAGCTGGGGGCTCGGCTGCTGTGCCGGCGGTGGAGGCTGCACCTGCACCTGTGCGGTGGGCGGCGGGGGGCCAGGCGGGGCCTGTGGCGGGGGGGCCTGCTGGGGCAGCTGCAGCTTCTGCTTCTGCATTTTGATCAGGTGTTCCTAAAACCAGACGGAGCAGCTTTTCAGCAACGTCAGCAGCACCACGGGCACACCTGACCGACACGGCCAGCTCTGAGCCTCCCGTGCTGCAGTGACACCGCGGGCGGCCATGGAGCTGGCACGTGGCTGGATCGACCAGGAACGGATGACCTGCCTGGCTGCACTGGGATTCCCTGGGAGGCGCCTGTGCCCCCAGGAGGAAGCTGGGTGCAGGCCGCTGTCCCTGTGAACGGGGAAGGGACAGGCCCAGGGTGAGGGACTGGGGCAGGCCCGATAGCCGGCTGGAATTTTTATTTCACGTTCTTTGGTTGCTGCTTATACCTGGTCTTAGTGCTCTTCCAGTTACGGCAAGAACGTCATGTTTCCTTTAAGAGGAATGTGTTCACATCCATGTCAGCACGGTGTGCAGCCTGGCAGCGCTCGGGCATCGCCTGTGAGACCTGAGGCTGCACGGAGCCGCCCGCCCAGAGCCTGCCCCCAGCACACAGCACAGAGCACAGAGCACAGAGCACAGAGCAGGTGGGAGACGCCTCCGGAGGCTTCCAGCAAGCTATTTCTAAAGACAACACTCACCTCCCGCCTGCAGACTGGGTGCGTTTATGCACAATACACCTGAGCTACGCCACGTCACAGCGCCACCCACGATGGGCCCGTGGTTTCCCAGGAGGTGCTCACCGGGGTCAGCTTGCTGACAGCTTTGATCTGTGCGGGCGACTGGGCCTGGCCCTGGAGCTGCGGGACCTGCGCCTGGGAGGGCGGTGGAGGCGGCGGCGGCGGCTGCTGTTGCTGCTGCTGCTGCTGCCGGAGGAGCTGGAAGTGTGCGGGCGTGAGGGTCTTCCCTGGGAGCTGCACGCCTGTGGCTGGAGAAGTTGTTTCATTAGCGGACACTGCTCCCTTCCCCACAACACACGGAAGCCGAGTCCTGCCTCTCAGGGTGGACGGGCACAGGGAACCCACCACCTTTACCTTGGGACACCTGCGTCACCAAAGACCGGGCTGGGGCCTGCACGGCAGCCAGGCTGGTGGTGACCACGGCTGAGGCTGTCACGGAGGTGACCGCACGAACGCCCTGCGTGGGCGCCAGGGACACCAGGTCAGACGTGGCCGGGGAGCCCACTGCTCGGGGCTGGGTGTGGACCACCTGGGCCGGCGTCGAGCCTCCAGAGCTCTGGAAAGGCAACACGAGGGCCCGTCAGGGGACTGCTCTCTCCATCACTGGGTGGAAAGGGCACCGACTAAACCCACGGCCATCCTGGAGGTGCTGAGGGGAGGCGCCCGGGCACACTCGGAGCGCTGTCCTGAGCGAGAGCAGGTTGCTCTGCACTTCCCTCCGTGGTCTGCAAACCCCTTGCGGTATTTCCAAAGGAGAGAGAGCCGGGCCTGCTGGTGGTCCCCTCGGCTCCTGGCTTCGCCACAACAGGGAGAGGTGAGCTGCTGGCCTCCAGAGACCCTGCCCCAGCCTCGGCCAGCAGAGCCCCGTGCAAGCACCGTGGGCTTCAGCCATGTTCGATCCCCACATCACAGGAAGCGGTACTCAAAAATGCATCATGGGCCGAGACCGGTTTGGCTCAGTGGATAGAGCATCGGCTTGCGGACTGAAAGGTCCCAGGTTCGATTCCGGTCAAGGGCATGTACCTGGGTTGCGGGCACATCCCCAGTAGGAGATGTGCAGGAGGCAGCTGGTCGATGTTTCTAACTCTCTCTCTACCTTCCTCTCTATAAAAAATCAATAAAACATATTTAAAAAAAAATGCATCGTGGGTGAATTACTTTATCTTTTAAAATACCACAGGTCCGCCCTCACCAGTGTGGCTCAGTGGATAGAGCATAGGCCTATGGACTGAAGGTCCCGGGTTCAGTTCCGGTCAAGGGCACATGCCCAAGTTGCGGGATCGATCCCTAGTAGGGGAGACGCAGGAGGCAGCTGATCAATGATTCTCTCTCATCATTGATGTTTCTCTCTCTCTCTCCCTTCCTCTCTGAAATCAATAAAAATATTAATTAGCATATCCAATGGACACAGACACTGGGGCGGTGGGGGCTTGCCCAGGGTGGGAATGGCTGGCGGGGGGGCGGTTAATTGGGGGAAAAAGAGACGTATGTAAATCTTCAGACGATAGGAAAATAAATATTGCTAAATAAATATATATGTGTATAATTATTATTAAAAACTAAACTGAACTAAAGCATCTCAGGTCCGTGTTACTTTATGAAACTCAGCCAGCTCAGTACTTTTCCCAACAAGCAAATGACTTGCACAGCGTCCTCAACTACTGACCCCCCAGGAGCAGGCAGCTCACCGTCAGGGCTCCAGGCGCCACGGGGGAGGCCAGGCGCTTGTTAATGGACTGGAAGGTGGCGGCAGGGACACCCGCGATGGTGTTCACGATCACGTTTCCGCTCACTGTGCCTGCAGAGAGAGGGTTTGTGGGGCAAGAGCACGCGAGACAAGTGAGTTCCCACTGACATCGCTGGCCCTTACCTGCTGGCATGCTTGTCCCCGTCACCGGCGTCTTGATGGCTCCGGCCTGCTGGAGAGAGACGTGACTTGCACATGCACACGGCACACCCTCCCAAAGCTCCCATTCTGTCAGCATCAAATCCAAACTCTTGACCATGGCTCCTGGCCACACGGCCGACTCCAGCGCTGTCCCAGCCCCTCCCACACTGTGCTGTCCACCCCTCAGTGAGCGGTACTCCAGCCACGCTGACCCTGCTGGCCCCACAGCTGCCAGGCTCGGGCCTGTGCCTGCCGGTCTCCATTCCTTTCTGACTCCTGTCACTCAGGCACAGCCCCTCCTGAGCACCCACCAGGGTTCTCCGGGTCCTGCCTGGCCGGATGCCTGCCCACAGACAGAGTCCCTGGGCGCAGGTGCTCCTGAGTGCATTTTCTGAACGAGTGAGGAGGCTGCCCAGGCAACATACGAACACCCCCCCCGCCCCCCCCCCCCCCCCCCCCCCAGCAAAGGAAATCAAAGCAAAGGGGTTGGTTCTGCAGACACCCCAGGCCTGGCTGACAGTGCAGAGCAGCTGAGCCTCCATCCTCTCCCGGGTCTCTTCCCACTGTGAGCTCAGCGTGGCCACATGGGCACCAGAGGGAGGGCACACGCCAGGGCGGGACGGTGCCAGCGTAGGGCCTGTGAGGTCACCGGCCCACTTTTCTTTCCTTCTTTTGTGCATTTTACCCCTTTTCTCTGACAGGCACTGAGGGCTCACGCGTGCACGTGCTTTGAGGAAAGCTACCAAGTCAGAAGAGCAGTTTGCAAACTGGCAAACAGTGTCTGCTCTGCAAGTGCGTGGGGAGGACGGGCGACTTCCTCAGTTAGGCTCACACATCCTCTCTGTCTCCGAGGCTCCTGCACCGCTGAGCTCTCCCAGCCCAGGAGCCCTGCAGGAGACACCGTCTCCCTGACAGGAAGGCGGCCTGCTGCTCTGGGCGCTGCAGGAACCTCAGGCGCTTGAGGGGGGGAGGGCCTGCTCACCAGCACGGCCGCACTGCCCACCGTAGTGATCGCAGGGGGTGCCTTCTGTGGGGGCTGCACAGGCTGTGCTGGAGGCTGCGCCTGGGCCGGGGGCTGCACGGCGGGCGGCCCCGAGGGCTGCTGGCTGCCGGCGGCCGCTGGGGGCTGGGGCAGAGGCGGTGGTGGCTGCTGGGGCGGTGGGGGCTGTGGCTGCGGCGGGGGTGGCGGAGGCTGCGTCACAGGCGGCTGCTGTGCCTTCTGCTGGTCGGCCAACGCCTGCAGGGCAGGAAGAAAGGAGATGGAGCACTGGGGCTTCGACTGCCTGATGGTCGCTGCCCCGTATGCCCAGGCCCCCCACCTTCTTCTCTTTGGCGATTCGCTCGGCACGGAGAGACGCAACCTGGATAGGAGGCAGGGGCTTGTCGTAGTTGATGCCACTAAAGACAGGAGAAGAAATAAAAATAAGCCGCAAGTTCTGAAGTACAAATATTCCTGAAACCCACAGCCCATTCTTAAAGCTGCCGGGTGCTGGAGGCAGCTCCCACCCAGCCCAGAGGAGGGGTGTGGGGCGAACCAGCCTGGGAAGGAGAAAGGCTGCCCGTCACCCCCGCCCATGGTCCGTTCCCTTCCAGGCCTGAGAACAGACGCCCAGGCCCCCAGCTGCATGAGCACTGCGCCCCCACCCCGGGCACAGCGCCCGGCCAGCAAGCCCCAGGGCTACAGGTGCCACAGGTCTCCTTACCCCCTCACAGACCCCTGCTCCCGGGACTCCTGCGTCCTCCCCCACATTGTCACCTACAGACCGCCTTCATTCACAGTAAGTATGTGCACCCACAACTGGGGCATGTTTTTACAGAAGAGCCAACACAATGTTTTCAGGGCAGGGGTGAGGCGGAGAGGAGAGTGCCTCCGTCCCGCTGCTGTGTCCTCTGCCAGGCCGGCAGGCAGGACGCCGCCTCCACACCCTCCTGTGCGAACAAGGATCTCCCTGGATGAGCCCTGCTGGGCCCGCCCGGCCGCGCCACCCCCCCAGCGATGCCAGGACACGCCATTTGCTCAACAACTCACTAAACTGATGGCATGCCAGAGAGGACCGGGAGGTAAGCATCTCAGAGGGAAAGCGTGTCACACACGGTACCTTTCTGCCAGGACCGACGCGTGCTTGGGGTTTTTCTGGAAGGGGTTCATGCCAAGCCTACAGCAGAGACGGAGACAAAAGTCACCGCGTGAAGGAAAAGGAGACGCGCACGGCAAATGACAGGACGAGCCTCCCACCCCGGCCCCGGCCCCGGCCCCGGCCCCGGCCCCGCCGCGTGCAGGGAGCATGGGCCTACAGGGGCTTGATGGGGGGGCTCCTCTTGCCGGCGGTCATCTTCATCAGGTCGAAGTGGCTCGTGTACAGCTGGGTGTGCGTGGCGTTCTCGTCCTGGGCGTAAATCTGGCCCGTGCGCAGAGGACGGTTGTTCTTGCTCTGGAACAAAACGGTCGGTCAGACCGTGACCCTGGGACGGGGCTCACTGACCGGGAGACCTCAGGTGAGGCCGTGATTAAACCCCTTCTTCCTGGGACAGCACACACACGACAGCAAGGGCACAGCGGCCGGCACCTGCCACCCGCCCACACCTCCTCGGTCTGTGCCAGGCCTTTCTGCACGTCCCTGAGTGAGCCGCCCAATCAGCCGCTGCAGACAGAGGGCAGCTGGCCCAGCGCTTGAGGCCACAGACAGGGATGAAGCCAGCACCTTCCCCAGCAGCCTGACCTTCCCTGGGGCCTCTGCCCACAGTGAGCCGTGAGGGGGTGGACATTCCTGCCGGCAGGCTTTTCTTGGGGGCTTGACACTACTTGTGCCTGGTAACGCCGCCTTCCTGAGTCCCACAGCGACACTAAGTGCCTGCCGGCTCCCAAGCCACCTGCGCCCGCCCAGCGCTGACTCCCCGGTTCCTGGCGACGGGCGCCAAGGACCCAGCTGTCCGACAACCGCAGCAGCGTGATGCTCGGTCCGTGTGGACCTGAGGCCTGGAGTCATCAAACCAGCCCAGCGGCCAAGTCAGGGAAAGCACAGACCAGGCTCCACAGGAGCTGCCGTGCACGCGACGCTCTGCTTGCTGGTCTGAGGCGGCAGGACCTGGCGCCCGGAGCCACACAGCACCTTCCAAGGACCAAGCAGCACGGTGCCCGTACCGCCAGCCTCAGGCACCAGGACTGCAGCCGCGCCTCAGGCCCCCTCCCCTGGCGGAGCCCCTGCGCCCTGTGCCAATGCCCCGGGTCTCACCTTGCCCTCCTCCCTGGGGATGAGCACGCTCTCGTAGCGGCTGCGGCACTGCTTGGAGGAGCGGTAGATGCGGCTGCAGGAGTTGACGACGTCGCTGACGAGGTCCCAGTTGGGTGTGTGGGCCGGGGACACGATGGTGAGGTTCAGAGGCAGCTCCAGCAGCTGCTTCACGGCCTAGAGGACCAGGTGAGGCGCCGGTCAGCACGCGGAGGCGGCTTCCCGCTTCCCCCGCGTGGGCAGGGCGCGGACGGACTCGTGGGAAGGGGCCAGGTCCGGGCTCACCTGCAGCAGCGCCCAGTCCTCGCTGATGAGCCACTCGGGGTTGTCGGGACCCGACTCGGCCGCGGGCTTGGCGAAGGTGGGCAGAGGCTTGGCGAACTGCGTCTGCTGCTTCAGCAGGAGGTTCTTCTTCTGCTCCTTGCCCTCGCGCCGCATCTTCAGCAGGCCGGGCGCGGCGCGGTCGAAGAGCGACCGCGGGGGCACGACCGCCTCCCCGTGACGCTGCTTCTTCTTCCTGCCTGCGGCTGGACACAGAGGCCGCTCAGGGCTGCGAGCCAGGGCCTCTGCCCGCAGCCAGCCCAGGAGGGGCCGGGGCTGAGCAGGAGGCCCGTCCCCAGGAGCCCTTGGCCAGGACGACCCCTCCTGCCTCCCTGCCCACTGGCCTGCACGCCAGGCTCCTCCGCTTGGAACACAACGCGGTGCGAGGGTGAGCACGGCCCACGGCGCACACCTGAGGGGTCCGTCCTGTGCCGCCGGCGCTCCTTCCTCACGTACACGGGGGGCAGCTTGGACTCGGGGATGGGCGTGGTCTCGTACATGAGACACATGACCGAGTCAATGTAGATGTCGTTGTCGTCCTGGGGCGGCGTGGGTGGGGTCCAGAGCTGCATGGAGAAGGGAGAGGCATGAGCTGGCGACTCGAGGAAGGCAGTCACCCACAGGGGACGGGGACGAGGCACGCACCGGCATGACTTCCGTCTGCCCGTCCGCTCCTTCGTAGATGTATTCCTGCGGGAGACAGAGGGGAGCTTTCAATGTGAGTCTGCTTCACACTGTCAGCACCTTCGTAACTTCAGGGACCTCACTACACCCCTAGGGAAAGCAACGTGGAACCGGAAGCCACGCAGCAGGCTGAGAGCACGCGTCTGTGTGGCGACGCAACGATGGGTGCGCACCGCGTTGTAGGCATCCTCCCGGGTGTAGGTGAGCAGCTGCTCCTGCTCCTGCTCCTGCAGCGCCCGGGCCTCCTGCTCCTGCAGCGCCCGCAGGTTCTGGGCCTCCCAGGCGCTCACTGCAGTCAGCACGGCGTCCTGCTGGGAGACCACAGGCTCGGACACAGCGTCCAGCACCGTCCCCACGGGGAGCACACCTGCCCCCCCAACCTGGTCTCACACTCAGACCAAGGACCTCTCTTCCCGGTCACGGCCCTTCCACGCTGTGGTCACCATTTCCCAGCATTTTCTCTGGGCCCAGCATGGAACCTCTGTCAGGCACCATTGCTTCCCCCACTTGGAGCCGCCTGCACGGGGCCTCCCGGACCTGCATAGCAGCTGGTGTCTGCACTGGTGGGTTTGGGTTCATTCCTGCGATTCCTGGCAACTCACTTCCCTCCAAACCAAACTTAACCCCACAGACCTGAGCTGCTCCCGTGTGAAGATGGTCCTTACCTCACCGTTCCTCTCTTTTTCGTGATCGATGGAAGAATGGAATAGTTCCAGGTAATTCAAAGCATATTTTTCAATTGGGGTGAGCTGTTTCAAAATATATTTTTTGGATAGTTAATTGCAGGGTTAAGTTCCTTACAGCCCCACCAACACGTCAATCACAAAAGTGGCTGTGCCCTGGCCAGTTCGCTCAGTGGGTAGAGCACTGGCCCGAGGGCTGAACGGCTGCAGGTTCAATTCTGGTCGAGGGCACATACCTCAGTTGGAAGTTTAATCCCCAGCCCTGGTAGGGGCATGTGGGAGGCAACCAATCAATGTGTCAATGTTTCTCTCTATATATATCTCACTCCATCAATGAAAAAAATATCCTCGGGTGAGGATTAACAACAAAAAAGTGTTCTTGGCCAAAGTGAACAAGAAATATTTATGAAAGGAATACATTTTTAAGACAATGACTTGTACAGAAAAACATGAAGTGAAAGCAAAAGGAGAAAATGTCCAAACCTGTTCCATGAAGTCGGCCAACTCCTCCAGCTGCGAGGGCTCCTGGTCCCTCAAGCCGTCAGGGTCCAGTGACCCAGGCACGGCCTCCCCTGCGGGCTCCTGTGCGTCTCCCTCCAGGCACTCGATGCTCTTCAGGGCCTGGGGAAGTGCATGGTGGGTCAGATGGTGCTGACAGATCAAGCTTTTGTTTTTGTTAATCCTCACCCGATTAGAGAGAGTGGGAGGGAGAGGAAGAGACAGAGAGAAACATCGATGTGAGAGACACAGCGATTGGTTGCCTCCTGCACGCACCCTGACCAGGGCCCGGGCCGGGGAGGAGCCTGCAACCGAGGTACGTGCCCTGGACCAGAATCGAACCCGGGACTTTTCGGTCTACAGGCCAACTCTCTATCCACTGAGCCAAACTGGCCAGGGCCGAACAGTTAATTTTTTAAAATGGATGAGGTATGTAAGTGTAACTAATGGACACAGACAGTAGGGGGTGAGAGCACGAGTTGGGGGTGCGAGTGGGCGGGCAGAGGTCAATGGGGAAAAGGAGATATGTGTAATACCTTCAACAATAAATAAAATTTTTAAAAAAATGGATGAGGTAGCAGCGAATCTCCTCGCCAAGGAGGCGGGGGGTGGGGTGCTTCACAGCAGAGGCCCCTGCACAGCCAGGACCCGGGAGAGAACAGGCAGGAGCGGCCCCCGGAGTCGGAGAACACAGAGGCGGCTCCTCACCCAGGACCCGGGCAGGCTCTGTCCTTACCTCGATGAAAGGCCGTGCGATCTTGGGTGCAATGGTCTCCGTGACAGTCGGCTCCTGGGGAAGGACCACAAACTCCTCGGCCGTCACAGGGAAGACAGGCTCCTCCATGGGAACGCACACCTCAAACAGCTCCTGGATGGTGCGCTGAGCACAGACACGCACGTTACCCCCGCGAGAGGGCTGGCTCTCGCCCCCGCATGAGCTCGGGCGTGCTGCCGGGGAACCGCAGAGCACGCCTCACTGGAGTCCCCAGAGCCACGCACCCTGTGCCACGTGGAAGCCCTTCTGTGGCCCCACGAACGAGGGTACCTGCGTCAGGAACGCCATGGAGTAGTCGTTTCCCTGAGCAGCCACTTCTCGGATCAGATCCTTGGTTCCATTCTTCAAAAGTTTCTCTTCAATGGAATTGGCACTCACAAGCCTACAAACAAAACAAGACCCACACAGAGGCAGCTCAGTCCTGAAGCCCGGGCCCCATGAGCGGCCGGCGCAGAGGCCACCTGAAGAGCACGCCCGCAGGGGGGCGCCGCAGGCTTCGGAAGCGCACGCATCAGCGCTCCACGGGATCCGTGCGACCTGCCCTCACGTGGCGGTCAAAGGCCTCAGGCCCCACTGTGACTCCCCATCTCGTCCGGCCACGTCCCCACCCCGCCAGCCACCACCTGGAGCCGCCCTATTCCGACGTGTGGTGAGAGCCTATCTTCAGTGCAACAACCTAGAGGGCGAGGCAGCCTGTGCTCTGCCCGGGGCCAGCACCGGGACCATGGGCCGGAAGTGGCAGGATTTTGCGCCAAGTGGCACAGCAAGTGCTTAGCACACACGGCACGAAGAGCAACAGAACGCAGACGGAGCAGAGCATTGCCACTTCCTCATCGCGCCTGTCTGTCAGTGAGGTGGAAGTTCTCTGAACATCCGATGTGCCCAGACAACACACACTTGGTAACAGCGGAAACACCCTGAAGCCTCCCTCCTCCGAAGGTGCAGGCTCCAGAAGAGGCACCACACACAGGGAGTCAGCAACTCCGTGCGCAACATCGGCCACCACGCCACGCGCACACCCCACCACCGGGCGTCACTCGTCGGGAAGAAGGTCAAACAGCAGGGGCTGCTCCGTGACCTGCAGGGCACCCGCAGCGCTCCCCGCCCGGCCTCACCTGTACACATGCACGTCCTTGCGCCTCCCGATCCTGTCGCACCAGTTCTGGGCCCGGGCGTCCAGCACCGGGTTCAGGTCGTGGTCGTAGAACACCACCGCGTCGGCTTCCATCAGGCTCACCCCTGACGAGCGGCTGCGTGTGGAGAGGATGACACAGAAGATGCGCCTGTCTCTGTTGAAGCTCTTCACCAGCTCCTGCGATGGAACAAAACCTCACTCAGGACTCCGGCACACGGGGAAACGCTGACCTCTCTCCACCAGACTTCTGGCCCTTTGTACACGTGCGTCCTGGCTCACCAGGCCTCCATACACGGTTTAAATGGCACAGGTCGTCACAGGAGACCGCCAGGCTCCAGGCGACAAGTGCTGTCAGCGCAATCGGTAGGCCCCACAGGAGAACGGAGCCTTCCTGGGGAGGGATGTGCGCTTTTTCGTGTGCCCCCAGGCAATGCCACGGCACCTTACAGCAAAGGCCCCTGGAGTAAGGCTGAGGGAGTGGGAACAGCCTGAGAGGCGCCTCCACCACTAGGGCCGGCACCGGATGGCTTCCCTGGACACAGCTCCTCCGCAGTGAGTGCAGCGCCAGATCAGACCAGAGCAGGCAAACCCTCCTCCTTCAGGAAAGCCCAGCCCAGCCGGCACGGCTCAGTGGTTGAGTGTCCACCCAGGAACCAAGCGATCACCGGTTCAATTCCGGTCAGGGCACATGCCCAGGTTGCAGGCTCGATCCCCAGGAGGGGAAGGCAGGAGGCAGCCGGTCCATGATGTTTCTCTCATTGATGTTTCTATCTCTCTCATTTCCTTTCTCTAAAAACCAATAAAAATATATTTTTTCAAAAAAGGGATTCTCCATACAATGTGTTACTCCACTACCAAGGAAACTTGTCAGTGAGCAGTGGCCGGCTCGGGGTGTGCAGCACGAGGTGCTGATGCTACAGAACATGATGCGGCAGTGGACGCACGGGCCAGCAGCTGGCCTCTGCTCTCGGCAACATCCGCGTACGCTGACCTGCCCCCAGGGCCGGGGACGGCTCGGGACGCGGAAGCCCGGGAAGGGGGGCGGGTTAAGCACTTCTACAGGAAACAGCTGCGCACTCCAGCCGTCAGGAGGGGGTGCTGGGAGGGAGCGACCACGTCGAGGGTCACACGCACTGTGACTGGCCGGGAAGCTGCAGCACTCACGCCCGGCAGCACTGCTCTGACAAGTGACCATGGCAGGTGGCTGCCCAGGCACTTCTTTAAGGTAAAGCCGTCGGCGGTTTCCTTTTCCCACCAGGGCTGCCTCCTGGAGGACACAGTCCTGCCCTGCAGGGAGCACACGTCACAGACCTGACTGCGGCACTGGGACGCTGGTGCGAGTCCCGAGTGGAAAAGTATGGAGAGATGGGGCTGAAAAGACTCTCAAGTTCCAAGACCCGGAGATGTCACGCCTCCCTCTGCTCGAAGCGGGGACAGCACCGAACGTGCACGGCCCCGAGCGTCTGCCTGACCTGCTGCTGCTCGCTGTTGGCGTTCTCGTCGATGCGGATGTAGGTGACGAAGTGGAAGTTCAGGAACATCTCCAAGATGTCCAGCATGAGGACCATCTGCGACATGATCAGCACCCGGCGTCGTTCTAACCTCAGCTTCTTCAGCAGCATCGCCAGGGCCTCCAGCTTTCCTACGGGGGAGCACCACTGAGTGTCTGCCCCCAGAGCACGGGTGCGATGCGCCAGCGTGCCCTCTCCTACCTGAGTCCAGCTGGACCAGCCTCAGCTCGGGGAACTGCAGCGAGCGCGGGGCGGTCACCTGCTGCAGCTGCGGGGCGTAGGGCGCCGTGTGCTCCTGCAGGCGGTGCCGGAAGATCCTCATCCTGTGGCTGTAGAGGGCGGGCGGCCGCGACACCCACACGGACGGGGGCGAGGCCACCACCGGCGGGATCACACAGGCCACCCTGAGGAGCAGGAAGCACGTCGTCACGGGCAGCACTTGGCAGCTCTGACCTCGGTCTCCATGGAGACAAGCCTGCTGCCCACACTGTCCCAGCAACCATGGGCACAGGCCCGACAGCCCTGGCCGATGAGTGCCACCCAGGGAGAAAAGCAGGGCAGGGCCCCCCAGGCCCCCAGCACGGACACTCACAGCCCATCCCCTGCGAAGGGCAAGTCTTCTGATGGGAACTTTGGGACACGGGGCTCTGTCTCCTGGACGGGGTGGGGGAAGAATGTGAACGCTGAGCTGCTACGGCCCTGTGCCACCAGGAGGGGCAGCCCGGGAGGAAGGACCGGTCTCAAGGCCGACCTGACACCCATCGCCCGGCCTCCGGACGCCACCTGCACCAGAAAACCCTTCCTCGGGCGGTCAGCTCAGGTTGGAGTCCATTACTTGCTGCCACTGCAGCAAACCAGTCACCCACCATCCAAACACCGACCAGGAAGACCAAGTAACTAAGGAGACGGAGGGACGTCCCACCTTCCTGGACAGACAGATTCACTGTGCCGGGGGCAGCTCTCCCAGCTTGATTAGAGGCTCCACACCAGCCCGGTCAGAAACCCAGCAAGTCGTTTCGTGGTTACCGACCAGCTGATTTTAAAGTTTATCTGGAGGCAAAAGACCATCACAGCCACACAACATGGAGAGAACGGAGTCTGAGGACGGCCACACGACTCCCAAGGCAGACGATGAAGTGGCAGACATCCAGACAGCGGCGCTGACGAGAGACGAGACAGCAGGCCCCGGGGCGGCGTAGAGGGCACAGGAGCAGACCTCCTCGTTCCAGTCACCTGACCCCCGACAGAGGCACCGGACGACCACACCACAGACTCCACGTGCAGGGAAGGACCAGGCGCCGAGCGCACCCTCACACATACTGACTCGGGGTCACAGAGCTGAGTGTGAGCTGCACGACGACAAACTCGGGGAAGACAGCTCACAAGGAACCTGGGTGACCCTGGTGTGGTGACGACTTTTCTAGACACAACACCAAAGACATGACCCCTGAGAGAGAAGACTGACCAGCTGACTCCACTGAAACTGAAAACTCCTGTTCTGCAAAGGACGCTGTCGGGAGAGCACGAAGGGAAGCCACGGACTGGGACACGTGTGCAAAGGACACATGTGCTGAAGGACCATTGTCCACAGGTACAGTGAGCTCTCAGCACTCAACAGAACGAAGGCAACCTGATTAAAAACGCACCGAAGGCCTGAACAGACACTCACCACAGACACATGCAAACGAGCCACCGAGAGACGCTCCACTTCCTGCGCCCCCCACGCAGACGCCGCCCAGCCCGGAGGCAGCACCAGGACCCGCACTCCCTGCTGGGGAGCAGGGGGCCGCCACTGAGGAAGACTGTTTCTTACAGAACTAGGCACAGTCTCACCACACGGTCCAGCCATCACGCTCCTAGCTTTTTGCCCGAAAGAGCTGAAAACCCATATCCACATGGAAACCTGCACTCAGATGGTGACTGCGTGGCCATAGTTCCTGAACTTGGAAACAACCTAGATGTCCTTCAGCCGGTAACGGATCAAGAACACTGGTCCATCCGGACAACGGAGGACGGTCAGCTGACAAGAAATGAGTACCAGCCAAGACAAGACAGGGAGGAACCTTCAATGCACATTCACCCCTGGAAGAACCCACGGAAACAGAAGCTCAGGGGCTGGCACGGCTCACAGCAGGGCACAGGGGGAGGAGGGAGGGCGAGGTGAGCACCAGGCCCTTCACACAGGGAAACCACCTCACCTGTCGATAAGATCCTGGAGGGACTCTTGACGTTGAGTCAGCGTCAAAATCAGGTCCCTGTGACTGTTTGAAGGTGACGTGCAGACACTCGCTGGCCTGGCCCCCTTCCCATGCCTGCTCCCCAGAGCTCCGAGCCCCGAGCCCCGTTCTCCGCAGGCCAGGGAACAAGCCGCCAGCAGGTCTGCCCCGTAGATGGGGGCGCGGGAGCAGCGCCGCTCATTGACAGCGTGGACCTGGTCCAGCCGCTCTCTCAGAAGCCGGGCCTTGTCCTCCTGCATCAGAAAGCGATAGGAACAGCCCCTGAGAAACCCCACCCTGCGGGGCCCTGGGCGGGGCCTGCCCCCAGAGCACCCCAGAGGAGAAAAGCAGATTCTCGAGACAGCATTTCCCACGTCACAAGAATATAAACTACGTGAAAGGAAACGTTTGCCATTATAAAGCCAGTTTCATTCCTTCTGTTAGGAAAGTTTTAAAATGAAAGGTAGGAAACCCAGCCACGCCCTCGGAAGGCCCCACGCGCCCGGGGAGGTGCTCAGTACCTGGGTGGGCCCCCCAATGGGAGACGCTGGTTTGGGGGCCAGGCCGGGTTCCCCCACAGTCAGGGGGTTGACCGCCACTCGACCAGGCACACCAACTGCAAATCAAAACCAAGGTTGGAAACAGCTCCGGACGCTGCGCACCACCTGCCCCCAGCGCGCCCTCAGATCAGTGCTGCCTCTCCCTGCACGTTCACGCCTACACTGGTCAGAACCCACGAGGCACCCCTGCCCTCTGGCCACATTCTGAGCGAGCGCCAGCCTGTCTCCTCCCGTGGCGAATGCCCTGTGCGCCGTCCTCACGGCCCTCACGCCGGCACACCAGCCACCAGGGCCCTGGCCCTTCCTCAGCATCAACCTGGCGGCCCTCAGGCCAGGAGTCAGCTGCCCTCCAAACCAGCACAAAGCCACCCCCAGACGGTCAGGGCTGCTGCTGGCCCTGACACGTGTGCTCAGGGATGGCTCCAGGGGCCTGGTTAGGGGGCACCGGGGAGAGGCGCGGTGATTCGGCAGGAGCGGGTCCAGGGAGCAAGAGGACCCTGGCAGGAAGCAGGCTGCGGACCAGGCAAGAGGCAGCGTTACCGGTCTCACACCGAGGACCCCGCCCCGTCGTCTGTCCCGGGGAAACCCCAGCACCAGAGCAAACATCTACAGCGAGGGGAGGCTGGTGAGTGTCAGCCAGTAGCTCTGAGAGCCAGCAACAAAGGAGACCCAGCGGACACTGTGTCCGTGGAAACAGACACGGCCACGCGGGACCTTCAGGTTCTGAGGCCCCACGGCCAGAATCCTCAAGGCCTCCCGTTACCTGCGAGGGAGAGAGCCAGAGGCGGCCTCACAGCCAGTCTTCCCCCTGCTCAGAGCACTCTACCTGGTGGGGCCACGGGAGCAGGGCCGGGGCCGCTGGTCGGGGGCTTGCTTCCCAGGGTGCTCAGGGCACCCGCCTGAGACACGGTCTGCATCACCATGGGGCCTGGCGGTCGCAGGTAGGACTGCCCGGGGGCGGACACGATCTGAAGGACGCTGCCTGTAATCACACGGGTGCCAGGGCCATCAGTCACGCCCTCTCCAAGGGTGCAGACACAGACCACAAACCTCATCTCCAAAACCACACTTGCTTCCACAATGCAATGCTAAGTTCAGTTACTTGTAGAAAAAGGAAAACACTTTATTCACAATGAATGTAACTCTAAGAAGCAGCCCAGCTGGTGAGGCTCAGGGGTTGAGCGTGGACCTGAGAACCAGGAGGTCACAGTTTGATTCCAGGTCAGGGCACATGCCCGGTTGCAGGCTGGATGCCTAGCAGGGATGTGCAGGAGGCAGCCAATCAGTGATTCTCTCTCATCATGGATGTTTCTCTCTCTCTCCCTTCCTCTGAAATCAATAAATAGTAAAAAAAAGGAAATAATGTCGTTTTTCTTAATGTCAAAAGGAAGCTCATCGATTCCTAGAAATTCCTAGGAATTCGGGGCAGTGCAAGGGGCACTTGCTCAGGGTCGGTCACGTCGGGTGAGGCCTGAGTCCCAGGGAAGGTGCCAGCCGCCTGACCACAGGTTGGCGCTGGCCGACCCGCCAGCGGATGAAGAAAAGGCTGGCGTGTTTAGGTGCAAACGCTGTGGCTCTGCTTACGGAGCCGGCACAGCCTCGGTGTGACCGAGCCTCTCTCCATCTGCTCCCCAGGAACTCCCACGTCCCAAGAAACTGCAGCCCCAGGGATGGCCTCGCCCCTTGGACCAAAACCTGGAGAAGCAGGAAATTAGACCAATTGAGAACGTTTCTTTGCTGCAGGCTTCCTAGGGGCCTCTGCTCTGCCAGCTGTGCCTCTCCAGTGGCCTTCACCACCGGGAGCCATGCTCACCAGGGCCCAGACACGTGCGGGCAGGGCTGCTGAGGACACCACCCTGACCCCAAACCACAACTGAGGGGGACACATGTGACTGAGCTGCTGCCCCGTGGTCACTCAGGACTAGCGGGAGCACACACCCTCCTTTCTTCAAGCAGCAGCCGCCCCACGGACACATCGCCCTCGGCCACAGGGGGCTCTGGCCTGGAGCTACTGCGACCTGTGAGCACAGCTGCAGCCCTGGGCCTTTTCGGACAATTCTCAGGTCACAGTAAAATCAGAAGCAGCAAGTGTTTCTATTCTGATTTTAAAAATAGGAAACTTTCATCAAAGGGTAGATTTTTTATAGATTTCAGAGAGGAAGGGAAAGGAAGAGAGACAGAAACATCCATGATGACAGGGAATCATGGATCGGCTGCCTCCTGCACGCCCCTCACTGGGGATGGAGCCCGCAACCCGGGCCTGTGCCCTGAGGGGGAATCGAACCCTGACCTCCTGGTTCCTAGGTCGACGCTCAACCCCTGAGCCCTGTCAGCTGGGCAAAGGGTAGGTTTTTTAAATGATTACCATCTACTGAGCCCATGTCAAGGACTGGGCAGCCAGGTACACACACATTACCCACTGGTCCTCCCAGCCCCTCGGGCCAGGCTCGCTGTGGTGCCCAGGGAGGCACTGGGCGGCGGCGCTCACCTTGCAGCTGCAGGGGCTGGCCGGCGGTGAGCTGCCGCAGCTGGCTGTGGGACAAGGTGAACTTGTTCCCTTGGAACTGCAGCGTCACCGGGGTCTCTGGTTGGGCCACGCGACTCGGCGGTCCTGCGAGTGACGCCAGCTGTGCTATTTTGACCACCTCCCCACCTAAGGGAACAGAGGAAAGGGGAATGAAACTTCTGTGGAAAGTTTTTGAATGTGACACTGTCGTATAGAACGACCTCGGGTAATAAACAGAAGTATCAGAAAAACAGTGATGACACTTTCAGGAAAGAGCGATTTTAATAGGAAAGAGAAGACCCAGTTAACATCAGATTTTAATGGTTAACTCCTGCCATCGTAACTGGTGGACTTTACGCCAGCACCCACACTGCGAGGGGCACTTTCCTTCCCTCCCCAACCAGGGAGCAAGCAGCCACCGTCACAGAGCAGAGCCCATTCTGCAGCCTCGGGGCAGCCTCCGCGTCAGAGACCCTCCCCAGCGGGAAGCCTCGTGCAGCTGAGCTCAGAGGGAGGCATGACCCACGCTCCCCCCGCAGTCAGTACAGAAACACGTCCCGGCTGGAGCTTCGAGACAATTCAGATGGAGTCACAAGCACTTCATTCAAAAAGGCTGTGATTACACAGGACTAAAGGTTTTTTTACCCAATGGTTGATATTTGAGTCTAAATGTTCCTCCTACGAAAACCCATTCAAGAATTATTAGTGATAAAAACAATTAGCAAAAGACAAGAAAAACACCAGGAATCTTGCGCACAGAACCGTGATTAAGGACAGGAAAGTGAGAAAGGAGAGGCAGAGAGTGAGTCCCGTTAGCCCTCGAGGTCCACACAGAGGTGAAGGCCACCAGACGGAAGGCGACCTGGTGGACGATGCCCCACGCACAGCCACAAAAGCCCCGTCCCAGGCCAAGAAACACGTCCCACGGGCGGGGGGCCCAGCGGTGACTGCGGGCAGCAGACGAGAGGACTGCAGACCCAGCCGGAACGCGGGGTCCTCAGGACACCACGCTCCTCTCCCCTCCCCTCCAGAGGCCTCGGCACAGCCCGTCATCCCGCAGCGAGTGTCCGAGCAGCACCTGAGACCAGGCGGCCGTGCCAGGAAGGGCACCTTCCACAGCAGAACGGACAGGGTCCACGTGAAATTTGGAAATATGCTAATCTCACTGGCCACAATGAAAAATTCTATTAAAATCTATAATAATAAAAGCATAATATGCTAATTAGACCAGACATCCGGACGAAGCCGGGGCTGCGAGGGCCGAGCCCCTTGCATGAATTTTGTGCACCAGGCCTCTAGTACTTAATAAAATTGAAATCTTAGTCATTGAATTATTATTAAATGTCTCAGTTGAGCAATAATTCATCCCAGGTTTAAATCTGGTAACAGCGAGAGATGAAAAGGAAGTCCTGGTTTTAGAAACCGAACACTAGGCCCATGGCTGTCCAGGAAGCGGCCGCTTTCATTTTACCCCTTTGCTCCCCAGCTGATCTCGGCCCTGGGCCAAAGCCCGGCTCACAGTGAGGGAGGCACAGTCATCAGCATGAAGCTCAGAGTGAGTGCAGGAGGAAAGCAGAGCTGACGGACGGACGGGACGGGGTCAGGAGAAAAGGCAGAGAAAGGACAGGCCCTGGGCACTGGCCCTGAGATTTAGGGCCGGAAAGGACAGCAGGGCCACAGCACGGCAAAGGCAGCGCCGGCTTGGGGGGACAGGAGTGGACAGAGAGGCTCTTCACACTGCTGGTCTGAGCACAGCTTCCTGGGAGCAGGGGCAGAGCCCCAGGAGAGGCGAGGCCACTTACTGGGCAGGCGCGCCTGGGCCTGCGAGGTGAGCAGCAGCCCCTGAGGCAGCGTGCTCTGCCCGGCCGGGTGCGAGGGGGCCTGGGGCTGGGGCTGGGACGGGCCCAAGGCGGAGGCCTGGGGCGCGGTCTGAGCCCGCAGTTTCGCAGGATGGGCTGGGCTAGGAGCTGTGCTGCAGGTCGAGGTGGCCTGGGGTCTCGGAGCACCGGTGGGAGCCTGGGGGGCCGCTGCCGCTGCAATCAACAAGGGTGGTTTGTGCAGAGCTGTTAGAGGTTCTCAATGCAATGCAGTACTTTAACCCGAATTTTAAAGAAATAAACATTTCATACTGTCTCTCAAATGAGAAGCTCTCTCTAAAAAGGGGGGTGAAGGCCAATGTGCTCTAGACAGAGAGGTATGATTTTTTATCCGCTGTTAACTATTTCCACTTGGCGCGAACCAGCAGCCTACACAGCAGTACATTCCTGCAGTGAACAGTGTTAGAAGTCAGCCATGTAAACCCGTGTCCACCAGAGGGAACCCTGCCCCCCCACAAGGCACACACAGAGGCTGCACCTCCAGCTGCACCAGGGGCGCTTGCACGAAGCAGCTCTGGACACTTGAAGCCGCCGGCACACGGCCCAGGACCCGCTGACGGGCTGGAGCACGGCCCGCGTCACCTGTCGGCCCCTGCCCCATCCTTCTCTGCTGTGAATCAGGTGACTTCCCTCCAGGAGCTCCCTCAGGAGCATCCTCATCGCCACACCACACACGCCTCCACGAAGCGTGCACCGCCTTGTAAAATCCAGTTTAAAGACATAAAAAAGCCTCCAACTCGTGCGAGGGCTGCACAGGTCTCTTCGGCAGAATGGAGGTCCCTCGTCAGAGGGGCCAGGCAGCACCCTCCGTGGCAAACACACCACCACACAAGACATACCTTTGGCATCCGGGTTGGCAGAGAACGTGGCGATGGGCGGCCGTCCTCGCACGTGGCCCTGTGGCGTGGCCGTGGCCGCTGTGGAGGTGGCCGTCCGGGGCGGGTGTGTGCTGGGGAAAGCCACCGTGCGGCCCTCGGGCTTCTGGCCGTACTGCACAGGCTGGAACAACCTAAACGCGTGTGGACGGGAAGACACAGCGTCGCTGCAGCAGGCCTGGGGGGGTGCCTGCCCCGAGCAGCAGGCTCCCACTCCGGCTGCTGGTTACAGCAGGGGGCCCGGGCGGTGCTGGCAACACTCAGCACACGACAGTGGCCCCCGTGCCTGCGTGATGGGGTGTGATTTTACTTCAATTAGGTTCCTATCAGAGTGGACAAGGAAAGGCATCTGGCACACCAAGTCCAGATGACTGTTTAGGGCAGCGGTTCTCAACCTGTGGGTCGCGACCCCTTTGGGGGTCGAACGACCCTTTCACAGGGGCGGCGTAAGACCAACGGAAAACACATCTATAATTACATACTGTTTTCGTGATTCATCACTGTGCTTTCATTATGTTCAATTTGTAACAATGAAATTGGGGGTCACCACAACATGAGGAGCTGTATTAAAGGGTCGTGGTGCCGAAACCGGTTTGGCTCAGTGGATAGAGCGTCGGCCTGCGGACTGAAAGGTCCCAGGTTCGATTCCGGTCAAGGGCATGTACCTGGGTTGCGGGCACATCCCCAGTAGGAGATGTGCAGGAGGCAGCTGATCGATGTTTCTCTCTCATCGATGTTTCTAACTCTCTATCTCTCTCCCTTCCTCTCTGTAAAAAATCAATAAAATATATTTAAAAAAAAAAAAAAAGGGTCGTGGCATCAGGAAGGTTGAGAACCACTGGTTTAGAGGAAGCAGTGAGGTGAAAGGTCAGTGGCAGCCTCAGGGGACGGAGCACAGGGACAGGAAGGGCAGACGGAACAGCCTCCGCGACCACAGAGCGCGACCACGCAGGGCCCGCGGGTGCCCCTCGGGCTTCACAGCGTCCGTGTCCTCTGCAGCCGGCTTTCCCAGGAACTGCAGAGCAGGGCGCCCCGTGAAGCCCGTGCGACACCAGCAGAGGCAGCGCCGTCGCCGCCGTGCAGGTCCGAGGGCTGCAGGCCCTGCCCGTGCGGGCGAGGGCCCAGGCCCGGGAAGACACACATGGGCGAGGAAACAAGAATGGCTGCCGGTTTGCAGAATTGGCCCTCTGTCTCTGAAATGCTGGCTTCCCGTCCCTCGTTTTAGCTGAGCCCAGGACTTCATCTGTTTCCGCTCCGGGGTCAGCCCCTCCTGAGCCCCGTGGGCTCTGCCTTCGTCCGCAGACGGGTTCTGCCCCGTCCCAGCCTCCAGGCGCCCGCCAGATGGTCATCCTCCCAGGGGTCCCTTCACTTAGTCAGGAGCCCTCTGCTCGCCGCAGGCCCACACCACCCTCCAGTGCCCTCTGCCCTCACTCCCCAGCACCCGGCCAGGACAGCTGCCCCCCCCCACCCACCAGGTCGGACCCAGCCCAAGGACTGGTCCCAGCTCCTCCCCACAGGCCCCGCCCCGATCCTAACCCTTTGTGAAGGCGGTGAAGGGCCACTCCTCGGCGGGTGAGAGCCAAGCCCACACTTCCCACTGACAATGAGCGACTCAGAGGGCAGAGGACATCTGGGCCATGTCCAGAGCAGACAACCCAACAGGCGACTGGCCTCTTCTCACAGCCTGGAGCCAGGGTCTCGTGGAAACTCCAGCCGGGTCCCAAGCCTCCCAGTGTCACTCCCACCCACAGCCAGGGGCCGATTCACGACGGCCAGAGCCCAGCCAGGCCAGAGGGGGCGCCGCAGGCCACACGCTCCGCACACACCTGCTGGGCTTCAGTCGGACCGAGGGGGGCCGGCCGGGCGGGGGCGGGGCGGTGAAGAGCTCCTCCATGAGTTTCCGCGACACCCTCTTCTTGCACAGCAGTTCAGCCTCGTGGCGAGTCATTTTATTTTCTAAGCCAATAAGGTCAAATAGAGAAAGATCCGTTTCCTAAGCAGAAGGAAAAAACGAGCTACGTGGGACAGGAGGAAAGGCCTCGACTAAGAATCAAAGCAGGTGCGCAGACAGAAGACCAGGCCCTGTGCCACGAGGTCTCCTGAAGGCCTCGCTGTGCCGCGCCGGGGCTCAGCGTGCCTCCCTCTCCCCAGTTGAGACGGGAATGGAGGAGGCGGCACCCAGGGACGGACTAGACCCGGCAGAGGAGAGGGAAGTCTGTGGCGTGGGGGAGACCCCGGGAGGCCCAAGAGCTGGTGCCAGTGGAGGTGGCTGTGTGGCACGCCGCCCGTCCTACAGCAGAGCCCTGGGGAGGCTCACTGCTGAGTGAGAGCCGAGGAAGGTGGACAGCGGGGTGGGCGGGGACGCGGAGAAAGGGGCACCTCCCACCCGTACACACTGACGGGAGATAGCGCAGCTGCCGTGGAAAGCAGGCAGCAGTTCACCAGAGTCACACCTGACCTGCACCTCCAGGCCTAGCCTTGTGCCCAAGGGAACCATGACCACGCCCACACGAAACTGCCCGAGGGCCCATGGCAGTGCCGAGGGCCACACGTGGGAACTGCCCACGTCCACCTGATGAGCGGACAAGCACAACGGTGTGCATGCAGGGGAGCCCTTCAATCTTCAGAGGAAGGAAAGCCTACTGCAACATGGCAAACGGCCAGCAGCCCCGAGGGCAGGAAGCCAGGCACTGAAGTCCACGCATGGTCTGGCCCCACGTGTGTGCAGCGCATGGTTCACATGGAAGAGGTGACTCCACAGAGAGTGAGAGGAGCTGCCTGAGGCTGGGCGGGTGTGGGAGCGAGGTCCACGCGTGCACTCGCTCTGGGTCCTGAGAGGCTGGGACGTGGGCGACGGCTGCACAGGCCGTACACACACAAGTCCACATGCTGCACACTTCAGAGGTGTGTCCAGTGACAAAGCGTCTCCATGGCATCTCAGAAGCACAACACAGGAAGCGGCCCCAATGGACCGGCCCCTGACACGGCTCAACTGCAGCAGCAGCAGCTGACCCGCTCACAGCACACTGCTCGCTCAGGGTCCTCAGACTGTCACACACTCACTAGTCACACCTTGAACCTCCCTACTCGAGGGAGGGGGACCTGAAGCCACCGAGTCCCTGGCCTGACCCCAACCTGCACCTGCACCTGCACCTGCACCAGCTCCCCCAACACACAAAGCAGGTGCCCAGGTCCTGGGCCTCTGGGCCTGTGCCCCCAGGGGGGGTCGGCCTCGCTGTAGCCAGCTCCCCGTCACGTCCACACTGCGCCCCTTCTCAGAGTCCAACAGCACATGCCACGCCAAGGAGCCTGCCCCGAGGTCAGTGCCACACACGGACGCTTCTCAAGGGGAAGACACGGCACAAAGGCTGCTGGGTGCTGCCGTGTCAGGACCGCAGGACCCAGACACAGCTACCTTCCTAGGTCCCTCCTTACCGTCCAGGCATCCCTGTCGAGCGCCTTGAGCACGAGGGAGGCCAAGCGGAGCTGCAGCGGCCGGGCCGAAAACGAGGACTGCGGGAGCCGGGGCTCCACCAGCCCCGGGTGGTTACAGATGCGCTGCAGCCTCAGCAGGATGCTCAGCACGTCCACAAAGTGCCCGCCCTTCAGCGCCTCCTGGGTCCTGACGGAGACACGAGCACTCAGCGTCGGCCCCGCCAGTTCCGACAGGGATGCACGTCCGCCCCCGACGCGCTCGGCTATGTCACTGCCCCCGACTCCCGTCTTGTCACCCTCAGGCTCCCTCCGTCCCGATAGGACGGGAGTCAGAGAGCCGGGGGAGGGTCAGGCAGCACACAGCAGCCCGACCCATGCTCCATGGACCCATGGTGTCAGCTACCCACAATCCAAAGCCATCGAATGCCAAGTTCTAGAAATAAACAACGTCTAGGCTGAAGTTGTGTGCTGCTCTGGACAGCGTGCTGATCTCTCTCCTGCTGGGGGTGTCAGTCGCCCCTTTGCCCAGCGTCCCACGCTGTAGACACTCCAGCTGTTAGTCACTTAAGCAGACTGACTGTCCTGGCATCAGCACACGTGTTCAAGTCGCCCTTATTTTACTTAAAATGGCCCCAAAGAGCAAGAGCAGTGATGCTGGCAACGTGGGAATGCCAGACGCCGGAAGGTGCTCCTTTAAGGGGAAAGGCGAATGCTCTCAACTCAATAAGGAAAGAGAAGGAACTGCATGGGGAGGGGCCTGAGACCTCCAGTCAGCATGAACCTTCTGGCCGTGACCGTGAAGAGGTCTGCTATGGACAGTCCAGCCCTGAAGGGTCATGTAGTTCCAGGCGGCCCTGGCACAGCTCCCCTGTGGACGAGGGGGGACAACTGTGCAGCCATCCTGGGGCCACACCGGCCTGAAACCTGACATCCTAGGTCCCGTCAGGACGTGTTTCCTGCGCGAATGGACACAGAGCGCCGGCCACGCCTGGGTTGGCCCTGGGCGTGGGTCGGGGTGAAGAGGTGGAGGGGACCCAGCACAGGCGGTGCACTCACCCCGGCTGTAGGATGACGTCCTCGTACAAGGCTTTCTGTCGACTGGACAGGCGACACTTCAGCACATGCTCGTACCGCTTGGTCAGCTGCTTCTCTGTGTCCCTCTTGGTTCTCCTCAGAATGAACGGCTGGGTCACCTGGGGAAGGAGACGCCGTGGCTCCCCTCTGGGAACGACATCACCGCACACCACCGTAGTCCCTGCACTCTGTGTGTGTGTGGGGGGAGGGCACGTACCCTGTGCAGGCGGATGACCACCTTGTGGTAGTAGTCCTGGTTCTCCTCAGTGGGGGCCTGCAGGGGGACGTGCAGGTAGGGCCGCGAGAGGCCCGGGATGAGGAAGTGCACCATGGTCCACAGCTCCAGGAAGGTGTTGTGCAGCGGCGCGTCGATAAGGAGCAGGCGCTGCTGGCTGCACGAGACCAGAGACCACGTCTGAAAGCCCCGCTGGGACTGCTGCGTCTGAGACGTTTAAGGACAAGGCAAGCCTACGGGGTAACTAGGCGGCCCCCAGGTGCCTGGAAGACATGGCTGCGCTAAACGAACGCTCTCGTGTCCTCGCGGGAGGGACTGTGCCAAGGACAGGCCGCCTGTGTCACTGAACCCCCAGCCCCCCACAGCCCGGGAGGCCAGGCCGACCTCTGCAGGGTGAACACCGCCTCCCAGTGCCGCTCGCTCAGGCCCTTGACACGCTGCATCTCGTCGATGACCAGGCAGCGCCAGCGCACCCGCGTGAGGGCCGCGTAGCCCCGGAAGAACTGCTTGTAGGACGTGATGCAGACGTGGAAGCTGTTGGGCTCGGTCCATCCCTGCGGCACAGAACACAGGCGTCTCCTCACTGTTTGATAACGCGCTATTTCTGCACAAAAAAGACCCCACGTGTGTATTTTTATGACCCTTCCTCCAGGAGCCTCCAGCACTCGTGTGGACAAACTCAGAGGCGGTGCTGGGGCCCCAACAACCGCTGTGGAGACAGACTACCCTGGGAGGACTGGGCAAGGCGAGATGCTCTCCGAGGCCGCAGGCAGCGTGCGGCTCTGCGCTGCCACTGGCTGCCTGAGAAGCTTTACAACAATTGGTGACCAGACAGTGGAAACCCAATGCATCTTGAGGTGTCAATTTTTCAGTAAATGCTCCTCAACACGGCAGCCCGCTCGGCGCCCCACGCACACACCACAGGCACCTGGGACCGGAGGCACCGCGTCTCCTGTCTGAGAGCCCACGGCCCACAGCTAACAAGGGCCACAGCCCTCACTGCAGGGCCGTCAGTCCCGGAAGGAAACGCCTCCCTTTCCAGGAAGGGACACGAGGCGTGTACACCCGGGCCCTCCGTGAGGCGTGTACACCCGGGCCCTCCGTGAGGCGTGTACACCCGGGCCGGGCCCTCCGTGAGGCGTGAACACCCGGGCCCTCCGTGCAGGGCAGTCAATGCTTTTGAGGAACTGCAGGTCTAAAATGACCTGAAGGCGGTGTCTGTCTCACAGTAATTACACTAATAAGCACATTTTGAAACGTGTCTCATACTAAGATGGTTTCTTGTCTGGCTTTGTTTCACGCTGGAGCTGAAGTACCTGTCTCTTTGCTCTGTGTTCTCGGTGGAGCTGAAGTACCTGTCTCTTTGCTCTGAGCTCTCAGTGGAGCTGAAGTACCTGTCTCTTTGCTTTGAGTTCTCGGTGGCTGCCAACATATACGAGGGTCTTGAGCCCAGGACACCAGCGCTTCAGCTCGAGCTCCCACTTGAGGATGTTATAGCTCCTCACGACGACCAGGTGAGGGCCCCAGTTGCCTGCAGAGGGAAGGGACACAGCCATCCTCTCAGCCACACTGCCCTCGCCAGGCCCAGGCACCAGCACGCGCTGTGGAGACGTCCCCGAGAGGGACTGAAGCAGCCGTCCAGCGGGTGCAGGGGCGTCCTCCCACCATGGCTCCTGGACTGGGACGGCGCCTCCGTCCCCACTCCCAGCAGCCGCAGCGGCAGGCCTGACTCTCAGGAGGCGCTCAGCCAGAGTGGCTGGATGAGTGATCACCCAATAAAAGGAATGCTTACTCAGAAACATGGCCAACCCCATGAGCACGGGAAGGAACTCCCGCTGACAAGGAACAATGCTCAGGAAAAAGCAGTCAGCATCCCGCAGCCCTCGGAGCCCAAGGCCTGGCCCTCCCCGGTGGGAATTCCCACAGCACCACACCAACTCACGTGGAGGTTCCCAACCTCTCGCCAACACACACGCCCAAAACATCCCAACTAGGTGGTTTCAGCTCATTCCTCTAAAAAATGCGCGTCCTCAAATGATCAGAATCACACACACCAGACCGTAACGTCTGTTAGAAACGGAGCCACACCGAGCGAGAGGCGGGAAGGACAGGCTGGGAAAGATCTCACCCACCCGACGGCCAAGGCTGATCAGACGCGAGGCGCCCCGACCCCCACGAGAAAGCACCACACGAGGAGCCCAGAAAACAGGCCCTCCCGACCCTCGCTCACCACACCCTGGCCCGCACGACAGGCTCGGCAGCACCTGCTGTCCCTGCGCCTACCTTCGTTGCAAGCGAGGTGGGCAAAGAAGGCGATGATCTGCACCGTCTTCCCCAGCCCGGCATCGTCCGCCAGGATGCCATTGAGGTTCTTCCGGTAGAGCTTGGCCAGCCAGTCCAGGCCGATCTCCTGGTACTCCCTGAGCGTGCCGTGCAGCAGGGGCGGGGCACTCAGCTTCACCTGCGGGGACAGACCCGTGAGCGCTGCCTCCGGTGATCCCCGAGCCCTGTCTCCAGCCTGGGAAGCTACAGAAAGCCTCCAGGCCACAGGACAAGGGTCAGAGTTCACCTTCTGGGGCAAGTGCTCTGTGGGAGCAGGGAGCCTCTCCGTCCCTCTCGCCGGGCGCTCACCGTGGTGCTGAACCGAGCACTGCCCTTGGGCAGGATGGCTTCAGCCATGGCGGTCACTTCCGCGATGTCCTTTGTGTGAGGCTTCCCGACACCCATTCTCTCAGCGGCTTTGAACTGGTCCATGATGAACAGCGAGTCTATGAGCACCACGTCCCTGTGGCCCTCCTGGTCGCCAGGGCCGTCTTCCACCTCTGTGAGCAAGGGAAAGGTGGGGTTTGCAGCAGCCTTCATAGTTTCATGAGCCTACTTAACATTAAACAAACTGACAGAATCCAAATACAGAATAAAGCACCCATTTTTTGAACTTTGATCCACTTTACATACCTAAGAGGGCGCTCTGGTTAAACAGAGAAAACTCTTACGAAACTATCAACCTCGGCCCACTCTGGAAAGCCCCCAGGTGAACCCGGAGAGGCCTCCGCAGCAATGGAGCTGCTGTCCCCACAGGTGGCTGTATGGGCACCTGCTGGGTCCCTGACTCCCTCCACCACCAAGAAAGGAAAGACTACAAGCATCTCCAAGGCCAGTCAAGTAAGGGGCCGCCAGGGCCCCCTGGTCCTGCTGCAACAGGGTCCTGACAGCGGCCACTCCCAGGCACTGTGTCTAGTGATCAGAACGAGCAGGGCGACGGCAGGAAAGCAGGGCTCCTGGTGTCGTCTGCGCGGGTTTGGAATGTCTAATCAAAGTAAAATGACCTCCTGAAAGCAGTCGTGTTAAACAGCACAGCCTGAATAAATGTGATGAAAATCTAGGTCCATAAAATGACAACTTTTCTAAACCTGGAGAAAACGAACTGCTCACAACTTGACCAAGTGCTCTCATGACTGTGCCAAGTTTATAAACAACAAAAAAGGAAGCACAGAATTCAATGAAACGCTACTCAATACAGAATCACACATAACTCCAACGTTCCCGTCACCAGACCAAAGGGTGTCCGCCCTGTCCGACCCCTGCTCTGCCAGTCGCTGTTTGAAAGCCGAACCCCTGCAGGCGCGGGACAGACCTTCTTCCTCACTCGTCTCCTCGCCGCCGGGCTGAGGCTGGGGCCACTGGAAGCTCGGCAGAAAGGCCCCTTCATACAGCTTCATCAGGTCGATGAGGGGCAGCTCAGCTGGGAGGGCACAGGAGAAGGGGTTACTTCCCGGTCAGAGACATGCACATGAGCAGAAGAACAAAGAGTGTTCGCCGACACAGGAGGCATCCTGTGAGCTAGAGAGAGCGTTGTGTGTTTTTTAAATAAACCAGGTTGGCCAATGCGACTGCACTAACATCAAGAACACTTGTGCATCACGTTACCACAAGGAGAATGAAAATGGGGAAAATGCAACACATAAAACTGACGAAGAATTGATGTCCAGGACACACAAGGATCACCTACAAGTCAACACGGAAAAGGAAACCCAGAACCAGGACAGGAAAAGACAGGCAGGAGCCCAGGAAGAGATGCCATTTCTCACCCCGACGGGCAGAAAGGCTGCAGTCAGACACCAGTGCACCCGAGATGGGCAGCTGGCGGCCACCATTCTACCCAAACTCAGCACAACTTCACCAGGCTGCCAGGTGCACACGCCCCCAGCCCGCTCCTCCACTCAGAGCGCAGGGACCGGGGGCCCACCAACTGCCCGGCAGACCGTCTGGGCAGACAGGTGCACGTGGCAACTGCGCAGTGAGAACCAGTGTTTACACAGCAAATGACAACGTGAATGACACTTGGCAGCAGAAGAGCTGAGAGGAAAGGCAAGTGGGCGAGCCTACAGCAGGACGTTCACGTGAGGCTCCAACACTGGGAAGGAAGCAGTGTGCTCAGGGAGGGCACAGGTGCGGGGACAGAGCTGCAGGAGTGACAGACGCAAGATCCAGAACGCATCCCGGCGGGGACCCGGGGAGAAGGAGACAGGGACGCGGGGGGGGGGGGGGGGGGGGGCACTCTACGCTCAGCAGCGTGACTGATCCCAGGGAGCTCGACACCGGGTGCTGTTCTGCCTTGCACAGGCTTTCAGCTTCCTGTCCTGGCTCGGTGTTCACGGCACGCTGGCAGGAGGCCCAGCCTACCTTCCTTGGCGAGGTTCGACAGCTCTGACTGGTGGTCCACGGCCCCTTCGTTCGCCTCCTCCTCTGCAATCGTCTCCTCCTCGTCTTCCACTGCAATGGTGACGCCAGAGCGAATGTCAGCGAGACGGGTGGCACGCACCAAGCACGACGCAGCTCCACCGGCTCCACATGCAGCCTCTCGTGCCCCAGGGAAGGCTGGAGACTGGCCACACTGGCCTCCCACCTCAGTGGACGCAGCCTGGCTGCTGCTACACGACGAACCCACTCAGGCCGGAGCGAGGGAGGGAACCACCCACTGCTGAGCCCGCTGCAGCCAGTCCATGAGCCATCGCCCATGTCCACAGCCCCGGCCACTGCCCAGCAGACCAGCTCACCTACCAGGCTCCTGTGCTGTGCAGCCACTGCCTCAAAGCAACCTCGGCCCTGCCCTCGTGCCTCCCTCCCACAGAGCCCTGGCCCTGGTGCAGAAGCGTCGACCAGCGCCGCAGCAGAAAGCAGCGTCTGCAGCCGTCCTCCCCTGGCACAAACCTCACCACCGGGCTGCCTTGCCAGACAGACCACACCTCGCCCAGCACCGGCCTCAGCCCCTGGCCGGCTCCTTCCCATCGGCACTGATCGTGTCTCCTCCCTTACGAACAGAACTCGCCCTCAGTCCTAGGCTCTCCCTGCTCCACTGGCCAGCGCCTCGCATCTTCCCCACAAAGCCCACTGCCCACCGAGGCACCTGGCTGGCGACAATCCCAGTGGCTCTGGGTCATGGTTGCAACAAGTGGGCACCCTGCTTGTGAGTTCACGGGGACAGACCTTCATCATCAGTGAGGGCTGTGCTCGCTTTCCGTTTCCTGCCAGCTGCTCCCGGGTCCTGAGTCAGGATAAAAATTGCCAACATGTGATCTTAAAGCCCAGGATGGAAACCAAATCAGGACTGTGTTGGGCGTGCACCTCAGGGCACCGTGGCCCTGTGACAAGCACGCCGCCACCAGACCGCGGTCACAGGACAGGCCTGGGTGTGGCTAAGTCCACATGCGTGCTGCACCTCATCCAAATCCGAGTCAACGCCCCGTGAACCCCACGCTACAGAGAACCCGTTTCTTCCCCAGGTAGCCCGACTTCACAGTGCAAGGGAGTGACGCGTGTCATCTCCAAGTCTCTCCAGATAGAAGCAGGGAGCTCCACGGTACAGAATGACCCACATGCTCCCCGCCCACCGGTGCAGGGACAGCCGGAACTCACCAGAACACTTTCCAGCAGCACCTCGGGGCCCTTGGGTCTCGGCTCCTTTCCTAGAGAGACAGGGGCTGTGACCATGTTCTCCACCCGCGCCAAGGGCATCTCTGCCTGTCTAGGCCACGCTCTCCTGACACCCCGCTGAGGAGACATCCCAGCGAGTGCCCCCTCCCTCCTGGTGACCTGGGGACAATGCAGAGCCAGCCCCCTGCCACCCTCACCAGGTGCCCAGGCAGCTCCCAGCCCTCAGCGCTGAGACCTCAGCAGGAACCCAGGAGAGGGACCGGAGCGACCAGCAAAGCTCCTTTCTTCTGCCCCGTCTGGTCGCACAGCTGCGACCTCAGCAGTGGCCACCTCTCCCCCGTTTCCGCACCCGGAAAATGGGAGTCACAGTGTCCCACCCACCCCACCCCGCCCTGCCCTGCAGTCAGGCAGTGCACTGGCCACACACAGGGGCCCAGGGCCACACACCTCAGGGCGTCCACCTCCCTGCCCAGGGACTGGCCAAAGGGGACAGGCTCAGACCTCAACTGAGAGTGAGGGCCCCAAAGCTGGTCGGCCTGGGGTTCGGACTCAACCAGCAAATCTCAAAAGAATGGGAACATGCGGCCAGAGCAGCTGCCCCGAGAGCAAGGTGATCACCAGGCGCCACAAGCTCGCGCAGGGCTGGAGCAGGCAGCCTCCTGGGAAGCCACTGTGTTGCCAGGTGCCGACGAGCACAGGACTGGGGCAGAATACGGTCTGCGAGAGGGAAGGCTTTACCCAGGACCATACCTTTCCTGGAAACTTTCTGTAAATGCAAGGCCTTCTTCCTCTTCTCCTCTAATTCGACTTGTAGCTTGATTTCCACAACCTGAATGTAAGAGTTAAATACAAGCGCGTGTCCGAGGATGCAAGTTAACCAGCTCTAGAACGTTCAGCAACAGAGACACTCACACACGGGTATGCAAGCACACGGCTGGCTCGCCCTGATCTGCAGCGAACTGCATCTGCCCCGTCAGGTGCTGAGCTCAGAACGCTTCCAAAAGGGAGTGGAGCAAGAGCTGCCGCTCTGGAGAGCAGCTCCTTGGTGACCTGCCCCCTCCGAGGAGCCGTGTGCAGGCCTCTCGGGGACAATGGACTTCATGCAGCACCAGCAGCAGCCACGCGTGTCCACGTGTCCACGCACAGCCACAGGCAGAGCAAGAACCTTCCTTCTAAGGAGCTGCAGTCCGAGGGCTATGCTGGCGGAACCCACCCTCACGCACCCTCCTCAGCGACGCTGCGGGCTCTGCCTCGCCAGCCCCAACAGTCTAGGTCTCGGGCCCCATTAAGATGTCAGGTTTACCTGTTCGATATTTGACCAGAAATACTCTATTTCCCTGGCAGCCGAGGCAGCGATCCGCCTGAGCCGGCTCTGCTCCTCTTTCTTGCCCCTTTCTTCTCGCAGCTTCTTCTCTTCGTGATGACGCACCACCGTCCTGACGAGCTGGCAGGGGAAAGTTTAAGGGTTTTGTGTTTTAGTCAGTCACGCGACAAAAAGGACACAGGTTTCTTTTTTTTTTTTAAGCTTCATTTAAAAGCAAAAATGATTTCAGAGTGAGGAAGGCAGAGGGAGGAGAGGAGAAACATCCATCAGTGGTCTCCTGCGCGTGACTGAGGAGTCAACCTGCACCCGCCAGTGCATGGACGGTGCGCCAACCAACCGGGACCCTGGCCAGGGCGACACGAAGCTCCTCACATGTTCTCAGCCCAGGACCACACCATCTCCGAGATGCATGCTCTGCGGGCCGTCAGCGCTGGGTGGGGAGACCCAGGCTCACTACTTTCTTCCCCAAGTGAACGGACAACCCAGGGGTCCCAGCTCACCCACCTTCTTGGCAGCAGCCACCTTCCACCGCCGCTCCTGGGCGAAGTCGGTGGCCATCCACTGCATCTCCTCCAGCAGGTAGTCCCAGTGCGCGCGGGGACGCGGGGCCTCCTGCAGCTTGGGCAGCCGCCTCAGGGACCACAGGCCTTCCTTCCTCAGCTCGGCTATCCGCTGATGGATCTGGTTTTCCTGCAGGGCGGGGGAGCACTTAATCATTAACTGCATTCCCACAGGTGAGACCGACTCTGTGGCAGTCTCAGCAGCAAAGGCAAGACTTGGACCCAAAGTTGGAAGAATGGGCAGGTGACTGAGTGGCGCCTCAGAACATGTCAGGCCCACGCTCTGCGCCGGGAACCCAGAGGCCTGGCGTCCGCACTGAGCCCGGGAACAGGGAGCCCGGGAACAGGGAGCCCCGGGAACAGGGAGCCCGGGAACAGAGAGCCCGGGAACAGGAAGCCCCGGGAACAGGGAGCCCGGGAACAGGGAGCCCGGGAACAGGGAACCCTGGGAACAGGGAGCCCGGGAACAGGGAACCCCGGGAACAGGGAACCCCAGGAACAGGGAGCCCGGGAACAGGGAACCCCGGGAACAGGGAGCCCGGGAACAGGGAGCCTGGGAACAGGGAACCCCAGGAACAGGGAACCCCGGGAACAGGGAGCCCGGGAACAGGGAGCCCCGGGAACAGGGAGCCCGGGAACAGGGAGCCCGGGAACGGGGAGCCCAGAAGGCCGGCCACACGTCACGGGTAGATCCGAGCCCGCCCCATTTTGCTCTGTTTCTTGTAATCCCTTTAAATGAAGCTGAACAGACAGCCGCCGCACCTGGTGACCAGCAGAAACCACCCGCTGACCGCGACCCCCACCGGAACCCTCGCCGACCGGGGCCTGCGCTGTCCCCCTCACGATACCCGCCACGTCCCGGCCCCTCCTCCACAGCCTGCGAGGACAGCAGCCCAGACCACTGACTTCAGCACAGAAAAGACCACACGAGTCCCCCTCCCCCAGGACAGGGTCGCATGACTGGCTTCCATCGTGGGTCTCTGACCACAAAGCTGGCCAACCGCCCTCACGCCAGGCGTGCAGCTACAAACGCTGCTTCCCAATATGAGTGCAGCCGCGTGTCACAGGACGGAAGGCACCAGCCCCTCACCAGTGCCATCTGCTCCGCCAGCTTGTCCTGAGAACCGTCTTGGGGTGCAGCCGCATTCTGAGCTGGGCTCTGTGGTTTTGGGGGGGCTGACACAGCTGCCCCTGGGGACCGGGAGGTGACTGGAGACAGAGACTTGCTGGCTGCTGAGGAGGGTCTGTTCACCGGGGAGGCCCGTGCTGGCGAGGCCCCCGGGCCGGAGCCACTGCCGGGAGCGATGGACGAGGTGGAGGAGGGGGGCGGCGGCCGAGGACTGGGCTGGGCGGGGTCGGTGGGTGGTCTTGCGGAGGCCACCATCTGGTGGGCAGAAAAGAGGCGACAGGTGAAGGCACGCCATGGTCCCTCCCCACAGCAACACAAACGAACCCATGATCACACAAACCACCACACAAACTAAGCCCCGTCTACAGCCCTGTCACCTGAGACCCACTATGAGCTGTGTGTGTCCATCGCACACCTTTCCTTTCCCAGCCTCTCTCCTGTGTCTTTAGCATCTTCATTGTGTCACTGGGTCCCGGTTAAGAACCACCCAGGACACTGTTGCAGAGGGCAGAGCGTGGGGGCGCCGGGGAGCTTGGCCGATGGTTAGGAGCAGCCTCGCCACACCCAGCCTCACTTCCACCACAGGCACGCGGCGCCTGCCCCCAGCCTCTGCCTCACTGGGCACATCAAGTGGCACAGTGGCTACAAGGCCCTTCGCACAGCTCTCTGTTCCGAGCACAGCAATCAGAACCATTTTTTTCCTGATGATTCAACAGTGACAACTCGGTTACAAGCAGTCCTTATTTTACAAACACACCATGTCTCAGCTGCTGGCTGGCTGACCTCCTGTCACACCTGCCTGGTCCCCCCCCTCCACCCCTCAGAGCCCGAGGTCAGAGTACCTGCGGCTGGGACAGCGGCGGAGGGACCTGCATCTGCGCCTTCCCGGGCACTGGGGCAAGCAGGGCCGGCTGTGTGGCCTGCGGGGGCACAGGGAGCTGGCTGGCAGGGGGCACGGGGACTGGGGGGTTGGGCTGCTGGGCCTTTGTGGCCACGTGCAGCTGTGTCGGCGGCTCCCCCATCGGCGGCTGTGGCGGGTACTGCAGCGTGGGTGGCAGGGGCGCGGTGGGGAGGCCGGCCGGGGGCAGCCTGCCAGGCAGCGGCGGTGGAGGTGTGTGCAGGCTGGCGGCATTCTGCACCGGAGGCCCCGTGGACGGGTCATACTGCTGCTGGCTTTGCTTCTGTCCGGCCAGTTGGGCGGCCTGAGGGGCGGGAGGCATCCCTCCTGCAAGACAGGAAAGACCCACCAGCACTGACTCCGGAGCTCGAAAGCATGACCAGGCGTCAGATGTCACCTCCCAGGGCTCGTCATAGACCCGGCACGCAGAACGACCACGCAGGCGGGAGGCTTAACTGGCGGGAAATCTGAGTCACGTCAGGTCTAATGTTCTCAATGAGACACAAAGGACAGAGGCCCTGGGCCTGGCAAGGCAGCACCAAGCAGGCAGCACTGAGTCACCACAGGGGTCCCTAGGTGGCAGCAACTAGGAAACACAGGAGTGGAAACTGGAGAGAAGCTCGAGGACAAGCACACGTGTGGCTCATTAAAGGGACAAGAACTAGTCTCTGGGGGTCTTCACACTGTGCTACAACAGCTCAGAACACCCCAAGTTCAGGAGCCACTTCAACCAGGCCAGCTCAACTGCACGTGTCTGAGTCTGCGCGGGCTGTGGGCCTCTGCATGCCCTCCTTCTGAGCTACAGGAGCTGGCTCTGACGCTGGGTCTTACCTTGAACTGTCGGCATTAACTGCTGGAGAGGAACTCCTGTATTCACCCCTGGGTGCTGGAAAACTACCCCTTGGTGACCCACTTCAAGTCGAGGTCGCTTAGACTGCTCTAGAATAATTTTCAGAAAAGGTGCAGTTTGATGTAAACATAAAACCACAAACGTAGTAGAAAAAACGTGTGTTTTTATAATATTTAAACAGGGAGACCTTTCTATGCATGAACCAAAATCCAAAAGCCGTAAAAGATTGATAAATATAATTTCTTTTCATTAAAGATGTGCAAATATAAGGAAAAGCATCATGAAAAAGCAAAGATCAAGCAACATCCTCAGAGACAACATCTGCAGCACACACGATGGGCACAGGCAGGCTGACTCGACAGTCCGAAGCTCTTACAGGTGACATGGCAAGTATGGGGACCAGACAGAGCAAGGGGCAGAGAGCCACGGCTCGCAGAGGGACGATCCATAAGGCTACAGGGGAAGGAACCAGACGTTGTTGACGGGATTAGAAAGGGACCCAACCCTCTGGGGGGTACCTGACTGTCTCCAACACTTAAGCGCATGTCGCTCTGATCCACTATTTCATTCTAGGAGTTTCCCCTTAAGATATACTGACATCTGGCCAGTGTGGCTCAGTGGTTGAGCGTCGACTTATGAACCAGGCACGGTTCGATTCCCGGTCAGGGCACATGCCTGGGTTGCCGGCCTGATCCCCAGAGTGGGGTGGGCAGGAGGCAACCAATCAATGAGTCTCTCTTATCACTGATGTTTCTCTCTCCCTCCCTCCCTCTCTGAAAGTAATAAAAAAATATTTTTAAAAAAGATATACTGATTGTAGGAAAAAATGTGAGACTAGTGTTCAATATGTCGATGGTACTAACAAATGAACACTGACCAGGGTCTGAAGCATGAAGAAGGAACTGCCTGTGCGATGGAACATTATGGCAGCCAGCACAAACGACAAAGCCCATGAATGGGACAGACGGCCTCCTATGTGATGTCAGACAACAGTGTACATACGATCACACGGATTGTCTCCAGAATGACAGGTGTCACAATGCTGGTGTGCAGACAGAATGTCTGTGGAAATTCACAAGCGTTAACAGCAGCTACCTCTGTGGCTAGGGAGTGGGCAGGAGACCAGAGGTACGAATCCAGAGGTAGGCTTAAGTGACACCTGAACTGTTTAAAAATGTTACACAGAATGTGTATGAAGTTTATAATTCGAAGAAAAAAATTCAGTTTGAAAAAATGAATGACAACTTTAAAAAGCAGATGGTTTTACATTCAATCATGGCATGAGGACTAGAAGGCCCAGAAGTGCACTTGAAAATCAAAACGAAATACACCTGTGTGACTGATGAGCCTGTCCCTTCAGTACACGTGAACATGCACATCAATAGGCCCCAAATAAAAAATAACTTTCAAAGTAGAAAGAAACTAATCAACACCAAGCTCTTCAGCGTTCACAATTTAGAAACACGTGGCCGCTGAGCTGTAAGTCCCGCTGCAAAGCCGCTGGGCCTGGGGCCATCTGAGTCGTGCCCGCGACAGTGACATACCTGCCGGGGGTCCCGCCTGCTGCCTCTTAAAGGGGTCCGTCTCTATTGCACTGCCAGCCCCTGCCACCAGGGTCCCAGCGAGGGCTTGCTGCTGAAAAGAAAAGGGAAGAGTCAGATGTTGGTAATTTAAGCACATTACAAGAACAACTAACACTATCATCATCACCCGAGCATTGACCTTATTTCTTTTTAATGAAAGAAATATTACCTACCCAATGTATTTAAATATACATATGCAACGTATATTTCTGTGAGTGACTTAAAGCTCTAACTTACCTCTGGAAGAAAAAAAGGACTTATAAAAGACCTATCATTCTGGTTTTAAATGGACCCACACGAACTGGTTGGCACACGGAGCAGCAGGGGGGCTGCTGCAGGAAACGGTAGTCTGAGGTGGACCCCAGCTTAGCCTCCCTGGCCAGTCACTCTGCCTGTCATCACTCACCCCCAAAACCAAGCTGAATAATGAGAAGGAAGATTGGAACTGTCTTCCTGTAGGAAAGTGACACTAAAACCCCAATTAATAAGTACGATTGACTTGGATCTTCAAATGGTGTGTGGACAGTGGGCCCTCCGTGATCTATGCAGTGTGTGAAACAGAGGTCACTGTGAGTGTCTGAACGACAGCCGCTGGCCAAGGCAGAGCGCAGTCTGGCGCCTGCACCTTCCATTCTGCACCTCGACATGCAGGGATGCTAAACACCATGGATGATGTCTGAGAACTGCTCATCGCTGATCTTGTTTAATGACTCAATGATGATCACTCTACTTAGTGAAGCATTTTAAATGCAGAAGTCACAAGTGCCTAAACCAAGTCGCTGTTCCATGAGGGGTTGCTGACCCCCGCGGCCCGCGGAGTGGACATGACACAGCCGGTTCCAGCCAGGCTGCAGGCCACTAGCTCCCATGAGGACAGCTCAGAGTGACTAAAGGGAGAGTAAGCACCCGGTTACATTTAAGGAAGATGGGGGAGGAGAGGGTGGGAGGGAGAGAGAAGGCAGAAGAAAAGAATGATTTGAAAATCAGGTGATATGAACAGTGGTTATCTCTGGGGACAGAATTACAGGGAATTAATTTATCATTTGTGTGTGTGTGCACCTTTCTAAATTTTCCAAATGTTTCACAACGAACATGTATTACTTATCAGAAGGGTTGTTGTTATTTTTAATAGAAGAAAGTGAGAAATGCTCGGTGTCAAGTGCGTCATACTGGACCAAAAGTACTCCAAACACACACAAACTCCGGAAGAAGTGTAACATGGGGACCAGGGGACAGCCTCGGGGAGGGGCCTGGGACCTGCAGGACGTAGGGGAAGGGCCGGAGTGGGTTCTGGTGCCACGGCACTGCATGAGGGCCTGTCTGTGCCATGTGGCGCTGCCTGCAGATGACTGGGGCAGGGCAGGAAGCCAGCAGTGAGGACGGGGACTGGCCACAGGACCAGGCTGGACAAGGAGAGGCAGGCCCTCTCCATCAGCTCCGCTGCCTCCTGACCACGCAGACACAAATGCCACGCACCCACTAAGGTTCCAGGCGCCAACGCTCGGGAGACGGAGTGCCCGGCTCCAACTCAATCACCGTGGCTAACTGTGGAAGAAAAGCAACCCACACTCCTCCGGCGCGCTGCCACCTGCCAGTCACCACCTTCGAAATCCAAGTCACAACGGCTCCAAAACACAAAGAAACAAGAAAGCATGAGCCACACTCAAAACCACCGATGGACAGCAAACAGCGGGCCCACGTGCTGGAACTGGACAGCGAGGATCTGCCAGTGGCTTTAATAACTGCACCCAGGACATAAAGGAAATATGTCAGCATGAAGGACAGAAGAAAGGAACTATACAAACAGAAAACCAAATGGAGATTCTAAAACTGAAAACTAAAATATCTGAAATAAAAAAACACACTGGAAGGCTGGGTAGCAGGGGGGGTGGGGAGTCAGTGAACTGAAACAGTCCCGAGAGGACCAGAGGCCTGGACCTGAGACGCGCTGGGGGCTTTGGTCACCAGGACAGTGCAGTGCTGCTCAAGGGTGATGGACAGATGGACAGAACTGAGTGGGGAGCCCAGCAGGGGGCCCACAGTGACTGCCCATCACATCACTTCCTGCAGGCTGGGAGCAACCAGAAGGAACAGAAAGTCTTTTCAACAAAATGGTGCTCGAGGACGAGATCCCTGTGAAAACGGATGAAAATGACAACTTCTCGGCAGACACACTGGGGGAAGGGCCAGTCTCTCTCCCGACTCCTGCACTGCCACCAACTCCTGGTTTCAGGATGACCTTTAGTTTTTAATACTATCTTTAGTTTCTTTTAAAAAATATATATTTGTATTGATTTCAGAGAGAAAGGGAAAGGGAGAGAGAGAGAAACATCAATGATGAGAGAGAATCATGGATCGGCTGCCTCCTGCATGCCCCACTGGGGATCAAGCCCACAACCAGGCATGTATCCTGACCAGGAATCGAAGTATGACCTCCTGGTTCATAGGCTGACGCTGAACCAGTGAGCCACGCTGGCCGGGCTGTCTTTAGTTTCTCACACTGCCTTCATGACTATTTTATCAGGAATGACACTGCTGACTTTAAAACACAAACTGGCTCAGCTTGTGTGGCTCAGTGCTGAACATCGACTTATGAACCAGGAGGTCACGGTTCAATTCCTGATCAGGACACAGGCCTGATTGTGGGCTCGAGTGTAAGCAGCAGCCAATCAATGATTCTCATCATTGATGTTTCTCCCTCTCTTGCTCCCTTCCTCTCTGAAATCAATAAAAAAAAATATAGTTAAAAAAAGAACGATTATTTTTTAAAATAAATAAAATATAGAGAATATTTGTTAAATAAAATAAAGTGTAAACACACTGTGTTGACGGGTATATATGTAAGATAATATAAAAAATCTGTTAGGATGATGGAATTATGGATAATTATTCATTTTCTCTAACAGAAACATCACTGATAGTCTCTGTTTAGAATGATTCCTTTCATAAACGAACATGTGTGCATGTATGTATTACTTTATATACAACACCTCTGCACTCAACAATATGCCTCAAATTTCTATGGGAGCAGACAGAAATCAATACAGATGAAATACAGGGAACTTTACATTTATTTCTAGCTTCATTAATCCATGCATATTGGTCAACATAAAACACCTACAACTGGTTGTAAATAAGAAAACTCATGCTGAGATTTCTTCCAAAGAAAACAAAGGATGTTTCTCATTTCAACTCTTTTCTGAGACTCCCCCTCTCCCATTTCCTGTGAGATCCACTACTGTTTGCCTGAGAAATCTACCAGGCAAAGGGAGATGTCTTGGTTTTCCTTTTAGTGTTGTAAATATTTTTTATTATGATACTAGAGGCCCAGTGCATGAATTCGTGCACCAGTGGGGTCCCTCAGCCTGGCCTGCAGGGTGGGGCCGAAGCTGGCTCTCCGACATCCCCCGAGGGGTCCAGGGTTGCGAGAGGGCACAGACCAAGCTGAGGGACCCCAGCGGTGCACGATCAATCGGGGCGGGGAGGGACGCGGGAGGGCTCCAGGGCATGTCCGGCCCATCTTGCTCAGTCCTAATTGGCCAGACCCCAGCAGCAAGCTAACCTACCAGTCAGGGCGTCTGCCCCCTGGTGGTCAGTGCCCATCACAGCGAGCAGTTGAGGGGCCTTACCATATCATTAGCATACTATGCTTTGATTGGCTGAATGGCCAACCAGTTGACCAAACACTTAGCATATTAGGCTTTTATTATATAGGATATCCTATATACTAAAGAAATGAACATATGTATGCAATTTTTAAAGCACAGTAAAGTTCATCAGAATTTAAATGGTGGAATGTGGAGATTGACTGAAGACTCAAGCTTTTCCCTCTGTTCAACATTTTTCATAGTAAAATGGTGAGGAGGAAAGTGGAAAACCTTATACATAGTTGAAAACAGAATTACAGGGACCACCCATGGAGTCGTCACCAGGCTTAAGAAACAACCTGTTGCCGAAACCGGTTTGGCTCAGCGGATAGAGCGTCGGCCTGCGGACTGAAAGGTCCCCGGTTCGATTCCGGTCGGGGGCATGTGCCTGGGTTGCGGGCATATCCCCAGTGGGAGATGTGCAGGAGGCAGCTGATCGATGTTTCTCTCTCATCGATGTTTCTAACTCTCTATCTCTCTCCCTTCCTCTCTGTAAAGAATCAATAAAATATATTAAAAAAAAAAAAAAGAAACAACCTGCTACTGTGCCTTGGAGATGCGGAGCGTGAGGGAGCCCTTGACCACCCAGGCAGGTGCTGCTGCCTGATCGGGACACTTCCCGCCCACGGTGCCCTCACCTGCAGCGCTAGCGCCACAGCGTCTGCTGGTTCTGCTTCCTAGTGAGCTTTCCCTGAAGAAAGTCTGCACCTGTCTTCTCCTGGAAGCCCTTCCTCTGCCCCAGACACCGGCCCTCGCAGCACCCGTGCTGTGACTGACGACTCCCTCTGTCGACTGGGATATATGTAAGCATTCCTCTGTCGAGGGTGCATGATCGCTGGTCTGCGCTGCTGGTGGTGGTGGGCATTTCCATTCTTTCCAGTTTGGGGCTTTTATAGACAAGGCTTTCTGGTGCACACACGTGAGAGTAACCTTAGCGCTTCTGCTGGTCAAAGGGTTTGCCCACGCTCACTCCTCCACGCTCGCTCCCATCAGAAGTGGTGGGAATCCCACTCATCACATCAGATTCTGTCCAATGTCGTTTCCGCAACCTGGTGAGTGTGACAGTGAGTCGCTGTGAAGACCGCGCATCATCTTCACCAGCCTGCAGGCCTCCTTGCGTGCACTGCCCCGCTGTTCCAATGCAAGCACCTGCCAGAGCGTCCACACACTCCTCTATGCACTCGCAGTCGCGGTGCCCAGGAGTCAATTCTGAGAGTCTCCAATTGAACAAATCTTATCTTCAACTGTACCAAATGCACAAGAAGCACCTACGCACTGGGTTCAAATGAGTTTTCTCCACCAACAGGAAGGAGGCTCCGTCGAGCAATGCCAGTCCTGGGCTGCAGAGAGAATGTGCCCAACGAGCCTCAGCATCTTGGACCAGAAAGGAAGTGCTCACCGGAGAAGTGCTCCGAGCGCGTCTCAGAGGAGGGGCGTCAGAAGTGCGCGCAAGCCAGCGTGGAGAGGGGCTCCCAATGGCCAAATTACAGATGATTTGGGCATCAGCGGAGGGCCTGAGCAGCAGATGCCAAGGGGGGGCACAAGGGGATGTGACGTAAGTGGACATCCTGAAAGGCATGTGGGTTAACGGGCACTTGTCACACCTAATGTGTCCACTCCCTACTTACAAACTATACCTCAATGCCCATAATTCACCATATTTATAGACCAAAGAAGAAAACATCACAAGGTCATGTGAATAGACGCAGAAATTGCATTTGACAAAATTCAACATTCATTCATGATAAATAGTATAATTAGAGGAATTTCCTTAACCTGATAAAGGACACCTACAACATCTACAGCTAACATCAGACCCAACGGTGAAAGACTAAGTGCTTTCCTGCTAAGACTGGGAAGGGAAGAATTTCTGTTCTCACCACTCCTATTCTGGTTTTGCCAATGCAATAAGGCAAGAAAAAGAAGTAAACATATAGATAGGAAAATAACAAGTAAGTCCTGCTTTCTTTGCAGACATGATTCTCTCTGTTGAATATATTACAGAATCCACCAAAAAAGCTCCTGAAATGAATGAGTTTAGCAAAGTTGCAGAATACAGGTTCAAATAATAAACTGTATTCTTATATATAGAATGTCCCCCCCAAAAAAACAAAAAAACGTATACACACACTTTGAATAATGACAAAGGCAGCGTTTATTAAAATACATTTAACTCCCAAACTTGAGCTATCAGCTGTTCAAGTGTGTACACATTTTTTTGAGACACTCTGTACTTGCAATGAACAACATTTTAAAGATATAACTACCAGTTACAATTCCACAGAGAAACAGGAATACTGGGGTATAAACACAACAAAACACACATGGAATTGGGATGCTGAACACTACAAAACACTGAAGAAAGAAAACAAAGAAGGCCACGATACATGGAGAGATGTACCATATTCCTGAACTGGAAGATGCAATATTGTCACATTACTTCTCAACAAACGGATCAACGAACTCAATGTAATCTCAGTCAGAACCCTGGTAGGATGTTGTGTAGATATCAAAAAAAGAGAAAGATTTTAAAAAAGAACAAAGTTGCCACCTGGGGTGAGGAATGGTACCACCGCTGTGGAAAAGGTGGGCAGTCTGTTATGGAGTTGAACATACATACACTTACCAAACAACCCAGCAATCTGTCCCCTAGGGATTTACCCAAATGAAGGCCTATGTTCACATGAAAAACAGTCTGTGGACATTCACTGCGACTTTACCCCTAAGTTTATCACTCAGCGCAACAGAAACACGCAACCCCGTGGGCGACTCTCCAGTGTGCCGTGCCAACCGCAAGCAGCCAGTATGACTCCACTGATACCTCATCTGGAAAAGGCAAAATCAAGCGGTGCAGACAAAGGTAAGGTAGGGCGAGGCTCGACCACAGAGACACGCGAGGAGCACTGGGGGATGACACAACTCCTGTTCTTGACTGGAATGGTCATTACACAGCTTCCTGTGTTTGTCAAAACTCATGGAACTACAGACCAAAAAGTGTCAATTCTCCTGAGTTAATAAGTGCAAATGAACAAATAAATAAATCGTTAGTGACATGTTATAACCCACTGACGAAAGAATCCACATGTAAAATACATCAACTGAAAAGCAAGTTTGTCATTACAGCAGAATGCCAACTAACAAACGTCAAAGGAATAATGGAATTAGAAAGTCCATTCTGCAATATGTAAGGTGACAACTGAGTCTGGCAGGACTCATCAGTAGATGCAACAGATGCTAGAATTAGTGGTCGAACGTTTAATGAGATCCTAGATATTTATATGGTCTTGAACTATCTTCCCCAAATTCCTTATCATTCACCCAAAGAAAAGCATAACCTTCCACTAGGAAAGCCTCAGGGGCCAGTGAAGGACAGGTGACATCATGGCTTTCTCATGTGGCACACTGAGCTGCACACGTCGTCACTTCCGTGGTATCCCCTCAAAACTGCATGACCCGCGTCAGACACAAGAAACATCCGACAAGCCCACATCAAAGGACACACTACAAAATGAATGGCTCCCCTTCTCAAAAATGCCCAGGTCCCGAGACTGAGGGGCCGGCCCAGAGGAAGCAAGACCGAAGGTCCCAGACCGAGGGAAACACCAGACGACATCATCCGGAGAGGAGACAGCTGCCTGAGCTGCGGCCTCGCCACCGTACAGCGTCACCGCAACATGCGATCTGAAGGCCAGGCCAGCGAACACTCACCCAGGACGTGCGGACGTATGTAGGGATAAAAGGGCGTGAGGGGATGCCTGCAACTCCCTGTCAATTAGCTCAGGGGGAGATGTGTGTGCGAATATGAGAGACAGAATGAAAGGAATGCAAAAGGGGCAAATAGGTAACCACTGGTGAATTTGGGTGAGGACTATCAGGGGAGCTCTTTGTACTGTTACAGCAACTTCGACCTATGTTTGAAATTATATCAAAATTAAAAGTAAAATATTGAAATAACTATGTATGGTGTACCAGATGGGCATTAGATGTATGGTTGATCTCTTTTTGGTTACACAAGGGTCTAATCACTGTTATGCACCCGAAAGTAATATAATATTATATGTCAACTGTAGCTGAGAAATAAAATTATTTTAAAAATTTAAAAGACTTATCACCACAAAGATGAAACTGCTTTCAGAACCCAGCACAATCAATTCCAAAACTACTAGAATCAGACCTATACTTTTAGATCCTCAGCACTGTTACTGGAACACTGAGTAACTAATTTCCAAAAACTGTAAATAGTCAGTTTGCATTCACTGACACCCGTTTAGAAGCCCGAGGCCCCAATTTCAGAGCATTCACCTCAGTTTCTTCCAGCTGAGGAAATACCAAGTTATCATCTGCTTAAATCTTTCTTTCTTGTTTCTGTTTTGCACTGTTCTCAGAAATACAGAGAGAGGACACAGAGAGAGCCCACAGGGGACAGAGCACACGAGGGTCCTGGCACACGGACAGGCTGAGGGTTAGAGGACATGCACTCTACGCTACGGCTGCAGCACGGTCAACACAAAACAGTGCATTAGCTCTGGACTGGCGTTCACTCATGCAACTTAACTTTAGAGTTCCATCTGCAGGAAGACTTTATTTTTCAAAATAAGGAATGGGCTCTGGAAAAATGCTAAGAGCAAATAGTAATTGAAGGTTAAAATACCTGGATGAAGGGAAAGTTTGGGATGAGGCTACATTTGAGAACCATTGACAAGTACCTGAAATGGTTGCTGCTGGGATGAAAAAGCAGCAGAAACATTTGGCGGAAGCTGGGTTGCTATAGCAACGGGAGTACCAGTCTGCCCATCCTTTCCTGTCACAACCTTTACCTGAGAGGAAATATTTTGAGAAAAAAAGGCAACATGATTTTTAAGACTGCTCAAAATTTTGTTAGAATTTTACTGCTGACAGCTCACTGATGTTTGCTGTTTAAAAATGGAATGTTTTTGCATCAAATTCTGCAAAAGGACAACGAACTAATTTATAACAGATGTATAACATAGCAACCTAACGCAGCTGCAAATCTTGCAGGAACTCCAATTTGAGTCACAGGTGCAATCTCCTTAGTTGCACAACTGCACATTCTAGAAGTGGGGACGGCAGGCAGTCCAATAGCAAAGCCCGACCACCTCAGGCAGTCTGCACAGCGGCCACTCCATCAGCCACCACGTGGGGGTCAGGATGGAGAGGTCTAGGTCAACAGGAAGTTATAAAAAGGGACTTTCTTGTCATAAGCACAGATAAGGGCACTGACCCTACAGACAACACTGGTGTACAAACATAAAGATAACGGAATTTCACTATTTCAGAGGTGAAGTCCTCAAAATAACCAGGTAACCATTTGGAAAATAAAAATGGTCCGTCCTGGAAAGGGTGTTAAAGAAAACACAAAATGGCAAAGCCACAGATACACGCCCATACATGTCGATGAGGACGACTGAGCAAAGAGACCAGTTTTGCTCACCAAAGGCCGATTTCTTTGCAGAAGAGTGACAAAGACTCAGGTATTTCAGCCGTCTCCTAGAACAAAGTCAGCTGCACCCACATATTGTACACTACACAACACAAAGGCACACGTACAGTGCACGACAGCCACCTCACGCTCGCTGCTGTGATTAGTTTTCAGGAAGTGCAGATGAATGGGTTGGAATCACAATGGTATCAAGAAATCTCAATTCGGGCATTTATTAAGCACCCATTCCAGGCACCCAAAATTTTCAGTTTAAAAAAAGATGCCATCTTAAATATCATTCATAGGTATTTATAAAAGTGAATTTAAAATATGATCTCAAAGCTAAGACTACATCTAAAAATTGGTTTTTGCCATAATAACTATTTTAATCATGAAAATACCATATCAATATTTACATTTGTTTATATTTAAGCCCCCTTTTTAAAATCCACATTCGTGATGATTCAATGGGGGGACCTATTTCAGTAAAATGTGAAAACTGGGGAACCAGCCCAAGGTGTGCACCCCCACAGGCCAGGGGCACAGGCTGCAGCCCACAGGTCAGCTCTCCATCTGGAGCGGAGTCTCTGCTCTCAATGAAGGCACCTGGTCTGCCCCTGCCCCCCACCTATCAGGGCAGCTCTTCCCTCCTGCGAAGAAAACAGCCAAATCCACCTTCCATGTCACTCCTGGGTCAAATCCTTATGAAACCACGTCTGAGGAGCCCCCTGGGCTCACAGGGTCTCTTGTGTTCACCGCTGCCTAGACTCACACCTGCGCAGCGCAGTCCTCTTACTATTAAACTGCTGTTTCTCACCTCATCATTGATAACCTCAGACTTTTCTTCCTCCTCCTCTTCCTCCTCCTCCTCCTCCTCCAGGTCCAGGTCGTTCTGCCTGAGATAAGCTTGTAACGGGGCGTAGTGCTTCTTCTTGAAAGCCAGGAAATCCATCATGTTCCCTTGCAGGTGTTGCAGGAAGAACAGCTCAATCAGGTACTCCTTGAAGGCCTCCCTCAAGGCCTCCATCTCCCGGAGGTGAGAGTCCAGGCATTGCTTCCGCATCTGGGCCAGCTCTGGGGAGGCTGGGGGGATCTCCTCCAGCTTCTTGGGTGTCTTCCTGCTCCCCGAGCACGAGAGGGGAAGGCTGGAGAGGCCTGGGGGCACCGAGGTTCTAGAAGGGCTGCTGGGGGGCGGCGGGGATGTCATCCCGAACGCCGAAGCCCCCCCAACCCCGGGCAGCAGAGGCCGGGTCAGCGGTGGCCCCTGCAGCACCTGCTGCTGCTGCTGCTGCTGCTGGACCAGCTGCCCCTGGATGATGCTGCTGATCTGGGGTGGCAGGCTGGCGGTGGTGATGTGGCCGGGGCTGGCCAAGGGCGGCAGGCCGGCTCCGCCCGAGGCCGCGGGGCTCTGGGGTCCCAGGTGGTGCACGGTCCCCCCGGGCTGCCCGTGGGGCTGGGACAGTCTCCGTTCTCGCATCGCAATGGGAGTCCCTGTATGCTGCAGCGGGACTGGGGCTCCCTGGGCCATCTGGGCAAGGCCCGAGCCCTCCTGGAACACGAAGTGCCCGCCCGTGGACGGGCTCAAGCTGATCTGCCTCACCAGCACACTGGCATCCACAAAGCCCCCGGTGGGGCTGCTGCTGCACAGGCCCAGGCCAGGCCCGGGGGCGCCTGCCCGCACATTCTGCAAGCCTGGCCCCGGCCCAGGGCTGGGCTGGGTGGGGCTCTGGGTCTGCACCTGCTGGGACAGTGGTGAGGTGACCTGGATGTAGGACGGCGATCCGTGCTCAAAGCGCCTCGGCTGGGCGCTGAACTGGAAGCCCGGAGAGGTGGGGCTGGGGAGTGGCAGTGGGGCCAGCGTGAGCGGGGGGTTTCCTGCCACCACTGGCCCCACGGTCTGCAGGGCGAGGTTCACGTTCGGCCCGGCCACGGGGCTCCTGCTCATGAGCTGCTGAACCTGGTACCCGGGCGACTGGGGCGCGGATGGGCTGGCCGAGGGTGCAAAAGGCGTGGCGGGGGATGGGGGTGGGTTGGGGTGGGCCTGCTGCTCTTCTTCGCTGCTGGGGAAGGCCCGGGACCTCTGCAGCTGGTGCTGGACATTCGGAGGGCCGCTGCCGTGGTGCATTATCGCCCCCCTTTTTTATCCAACTTAATGTTCTCCTGAAAAATCAAAGTTGAAATCAAGTTACTTCAAGGCAAATATAACCGTCTGATCACCCCTTATTACGAGCCTGGTCAGCAGCACTGGAGACATGTGACTGTCTGTCCCACCGGCAGCTGGTGCAAAGGACAGTCTTAATTCACGTGGAGCCGTGGACACTACAGAAGGTCTCCTTCACCATACAGGAGGGACTGGTCCCTCACAGCCTGGCACGAGGTGGGGGGTACCAACCAGCTACTGGACGGTCACAAGCATCACCTGCTCAAGGCCAAGCAGGATGTGACCTCAATGCGGGTCTGTGACCGGCGGATTCTTCCCGGACGCGTCTCCCAGCTCAGGGCCTTTCTGTGCTCCACGTGCTGGGGACGGTGTGCCTGCCTCTCCCTGTGCAGGGATGGGCTGTACACACAACCCTCAGCACCAGAACCGCAGCCGAATCCCTCACCCGACAGCAGTCCCGTGACCCTGAGCTACCGCACAGCGACACTGTTAACCAAGCCCCAACACAGGAGCCAGGCCAAACCCTGCGGCGCTCACACCGAGCACCCTGCGTGAGAGCAGGGAGGGCTGCAGAGGACATCTACAGGGAGACAGGGAGCAGCCGGAGAGGCCATCATGCCCTGGAGCTCTCCCCAAGGCTCCAGCCCCCAACTCCTCAGTGCCAATGACTAGAGAGCGGGGTGGAGAGTGGGAGGGGCCACTGAGAAAGCTCAGCCTTCAGGACGGGGCCACCCGAGGGTGGAGCAGGAAACTCTGAGCTAAGAAGGGACCATGTTCCCAAGTCAGACATGGCTAGAGCCTGGGTTTCCAGTGGGAACAGGACAACTGCACTCCAGGGCCACCTGTCCCGACAGTGCTGGGTCATGGGCTCAAACATGGCTCCTTTCCACATGGCAAGTCCTCGGTGCTCACGGACACACCAGCTTCCTATGTGTGGGGGTGCTCACTCCCCTCCCCTAGGCCAGCAGAAACACCATTTCATGTTCAGGCACCACTGCTTGTCAGAGGAAATGCACAAGGGAAAAGCTAAAAAACTGACAAAGGTGCAACGCACATACATATGAATGATCTACAGCTCCACACCCTGCTGGAACACATCTGTGTGAAGTCAAAAGCTACGGATGACGGTTACACACGTAAAGGCTGAGAAAACATAAAACTCAGCGTAACCCTCAGAGAAGGCACTTACATCCTGATGGCTGTCTCCGAAAACAGTCTCAAGGTCATGGGCAAGCAGCAGCCAGTGCATCTAAGCAGGAAGTCGGGACCACAGCCAGCAACAGCCTCATTGCCATCAGAAGCCCACTCCCACCACTGCCCTCCAAGCAGAAAGCCCAGCAATGTGGTGGGCACTGGGGGTGGGCACAGCGTGCAAGGGAACTCTTAGCTATGCCATTGTTTTCAATACAAGTTCGGGATCTTCATTTTTCTTCTTCTTTTTTTTTTTTTTAAAGATTTTTTATTTGATTTTGAGAGAGAGAAACGTGATTGGCTGCCTCCTGCACAGCCCCACACTGGGGACTGAGCCCACAATGCAAGCAGGTGCCTGACCGGGAATCAAATCACTGCTTATCTAAATAACATTTCCCAAAAATGTGGTAGAGGTACCCCATGCAGAGCAAAGCCACCACCAATGGCAACACACATTTTATTCTACTGGCTGTCTAATTTTCAAGTCCACCAGAACCAGCTAGATCGGATCCATTCAGTTCATGATTTCAAGGGCAGTACTGCCCAGGAGGAGGCCGAGGATCAGGTCACAGAGATGTCAGCTGCAAAAACCAGGACTAGGCATGGCCTTCCTGACTCAGATCACAATCCATCAAACCGCTCGGAGCATGTCTCTACAAGGCTGCTCACAAGTAACAACCTCCATGTCTGAGTCCATTCACTCCCAGCCTGTGTTTATAAAATGGGATTTCTGTGACAAACAAGCAAACAAACAAACAGTAAACCAGTGTAACCCCCAGAGAAGACTTGAAGCTGAATTTTTCAAGCACATCTACTGGTAAATTCATCACTCGTAATAAAAGAAATGCAAATTAAAACTCAGCTGAAACAGCACTTCTCATCTATCAGACTGACAGGAAGTCGGAAGCTGGACAACACACTCTGGGTGAGCGGCGGGCCCGGCCCCTCCAACAGCTGCACAGCTCTGCTCCTTGGGCCTGGCAGTCCCACTACAAATGCACCTGACAGCCACCTGCAACGGGAAAAGACATAAGCACCAAGGGTGTTCGCTAGGGCGTTATTTGCAAATGCAAAATGTTAGGAGTAAAGTGGTCCGTATTGCAGACTGGCTGACTCCGCTGTGGTCCCCTTCGACTGGAGCCCTGCAACAGGTGACAGGCAAGGTGGGCGCCAGGAACCGGCGGAGAGTTGTCTCCAGAACATGCAGTGAGTCCGGGAAGCACAGCGCAGGAAACTGTACTTGGACACTGCCTGCGTCTAAGAACAGGTGGATGGATGGGTGTGTGATAAAACAGGTACAGGAAACCGCCAATCACAGAAACTAGGTGATGGGTATACAGGTGGTAGGCAAAATTCTTTCAACGTCTATGTATCTTCAAAATTTTCATTGTAAAACACTACGGGAAAAAATACTGTCTACATGACATGGTAACACCAGAAGTGGCTCAACAAATAAAGGGCTGAAACAAAAGTCCCATCCGCTTACAAGACCCCATCCTTCTCCCCTGAGTGTGAAGGTCCCATACTGGTTCCTAAAACATACAAATTCCAAAGGATACAAATGGGCTAAACCGAGGCTGACAACCGTCTAGGATTTATGACACCTTACACCGCGCGCTGCTGCAGAGAACTGCCTGGTGGGTGGCTGCAGTGGGAAGCCCAGACGCAGTGCGGCCAGGGTCCCCTGAATTGAACAGCCCACGAGGCCAAATTCATGGTGATGCTGGCCGGTCCCTTGCCTGATGGACCAGAGCCCCCTGAGCTAGACCGTGGGCATCTACCTCAGCTTGGCAGGAACAGCCCAGACGAGCTGAGAAAGTGCTTCTCTCAGCACCGAGCGATCACGGTGCAGCCCGACTCGCCATCCCACCGCCCCCCAGGAGCCTGCGCAGGCATTTCTCTCCCAGTCGCCGCCGTGAAATGCTAACACCACAGCTGCACTGCATGTCTGCTGATGTCCTGGGACCCTCTGGGAGGCCACAGACCACGGTCCTATCTAAGACACTTTCACCCTCCTCTCCCTCTTGTGGGAGTTTTCGTGGAGAATGCAGGTCCTAATGGACAGAAAGAGACCTGGGCAAACACGTACCAAGTCAGTGAGTACTCGGACAAAGTCAAGAACGAGGAGAAAGCAAAGAGGAACTGTGCCACCCTCTGCGTGCCTCTGTGTATGTGCGCATCACGCCACGTGAACTCTCCACGGACTCCCACACACGCTGCAACAACCCAAATGCCCTTCAGCAGGTGCATGGGTAAATCCTGGCCCCTCCACACCACGGACATGAAGAAACCAACCCGCACGCCTGCAGGAGCCGGGGCAAATCTCAATGCACCGTGTGGTGAGCGAAGCCAGACGCCAAGGCCCGTCCACACCGCGCCTCCAGCTGGCACCCCCGGAAACACCGAGGCCAACAGGTGCCCAGGGCTGGGGGAGGGGCTGACCACAGAGAGGCCCCACGTGGAAATGGTTTGGGATCAAACAACCGTTTTGAATCCTATTGTGGCAATTACATATTTGTTAAAATTTTCAGAATTCTACACACACACACTCACTCACACACAAGTGATGCAGGTACGCCCCGGGTCAGGGCGCGCACAAGAAGCAACCAGTGGGCGCTCGAGGAAGCGGATCAACAAACCCATCCCGCTCGCCTCCCGTCCCCTCTCCCTCCGGTAGGAAAGGAAGCTGTACCCGAGGAAGGGTGGCTGGAACGTCCGTATATGGAGGAGAAACCGTGGGGGAGAAGCAAACTGAAGGCCTGGGGAAGGCAAGAACGCGCGGGTCCAACACAGGCGGTGAAGCAAGGAGCGCTGGCCGGCACGGCCAGCAATGGCTGCAGGGGATCAATGGGACCCGACCGTGCTAGCGACCAGCTTCCTAAAAGCACGCAAAGCTGCATACAGAACCGCAATTAAACGCGGAGGGGGTGAGGGGGAGAAGAGGAGGAGAAAAGGAATTGCATGGCTACAACAGGGGACCAAAAGGAACCTGTCTTGGTGCGTGTCTTTGGGCGGTAGGATGGCTTCACGGTTTAAAATGCACGTTTCCATTTTCCCCAACCACTCAGAGAGCATGTGAATGTGATTGGTTCCACTAAAAAAAAAGTTGCAAAAACCCTCTTATATGCACCCACGTGAAAGCTTCATCACGAAATAGAGAGGACGACGTTCCTCTCCCAGCCGGGGCCTAAGCACGATTTGCGGAAGTCCCGCGGCGTGGTTTCTGCGGCTGACACGGGGGCGCCGGGGCCGAGGCCCGCGGGCTGCGGGGGTCCGGCGTGGGGAGACCCCGAGACCCCGCACCCCGCCCCGCCCCGGTCCGGACGGGGGCGGGTGGGCGTGCACGGGGCTCGCACCTGACGCTCCCTCTGCACCTGTTCCCGCACCTGGGCGGGCGGGAAGGCCTCGCGCGCAGAGCCCACGCGTGGGAGCTCCGCCCACTGGCCGAAGGAAGCGCCTGGGCACTGAAGCCCGAGAACCAATAAAAATAAAAGCGCCAGGCCCGCGCCGGGCTCCAGCCACGCGGCGTGGGGACAGCGGAGCGCCCCGCAGAGCCCACGGCCCGGCCCGGCCCGCGTCAGGTGTGCAGAGCCGCCCCGCGCCCCCTTCCCGGCGGCCGCGTCTCCGCGCCCAGCCCACCCGTCACCACCACGCGCGCCCCGAGGGGCTGCAGAGAGGCGGCGGGCGGGGAAGGAGGGGGGCGGAGGCCGCACGACCCCACCCCCTCGCCGCCCACCCGAGTCCGGCCCGCGCCCAGGCCCCGCCCACTGACGGCGGCGGCGGGGCCTGCTCTCGGCGCGATACCCGGGGGAGACTCTCGGCCGCGACGGGCCCCTCGGCACAGGCCCCCGGGACCTCTCCGCCCGCGCCCCGCGCCGCCACATACCCGGGGCCTGGGCGGCGCTTCGGCCGCGTCGGACTGGCGTCGGGAGCCGGGAGCCGGGAGCCGGCGGCTGAAGTAGAGGCGGCGCCGCTCGGATCGGATCGGAGCGGCGCATCCGGGGCCCCGGGCGGAAATAGCGGCGGCGCGCCTGCTACGGCGAGCCGGAAGGGACGCGCGCCCGCTCCGCAGCTGCGCGCTGGCGGCCGGCGTGACGTCAGCGGGCGGGAGGTGTCGAGAGGGCCGGGCGGGCTAGAGAGGCCGGGCGAGGTGGGGGCCGACGGGCCGGCGGCTGACCGAGCCCTGGCGCCCGGCCGCCCAGCTGCCCAGCCGCCCAGCGCGATTGGAGCGATTTCTTCGCCGAGAGTCTGCAGTCTGGGAGGTGAGTTCCGCGAGGGCAGAGGGAAAACGGAGCAAAGGGGGTCGCCTCCCAGAATCCCTGGGCTCCTCAAGCAAAGAGGTTGGGACGAGGGCGCCCACCGGTGCAGCAATGACGCCCGACCCCGACCTCACTGCACTTGCAAAAGCGACCGCGCCGTGGGTCCGAGGCCCGCGTGGAAGTGCTGACGCTGCAAAACGGAGGTGTCCGGCCACACAACTCTGGTTTCTGAGAAGTGACCCCCGAATCCCGAAGTCACCAAAGGAGAAACAGATACGTTGAACGTCAGCAGAATTCAAAACTCGGGCGCTTCCGATGACGCTGTTGAGAAAAGACAACCCGCGGACTGAACGAAAGCATGTGCAAGGCATGTGCCGGATACGGCGCTTGTATCCAGAGTAAAGAACCTCCAACCCAGTTAAAAGATTACTTGTGAGCGGGCAAGGAACTCGCAGACATGCCGCAAAGGAAAATGCCTGATAAGGACACGGCATCATCAGGGGTCGGGGAAATGCAAACAGAAAACCACAGTGAGCCTTGGCCGGTGTGGCTCAGTGGGTAGCTCATCAGCCGGCAGACGGGAAGGTCCATGGTTTGATTCCTGGTCAGGGCACAGGCCCGGGTTTGTGGGCTCGATCCCCAGTGAGGGAGGTGCAGGAGGCAGCTGAAGAATCATTGATGTTTTTCTCTCCCTCCTTCTCTCTTCCTCTCTGAAATCAATAAAAAATACATTTTAAAAAAACTACTGGCCGAAACCGGTTTGGCTCAGTGGATAGAGCGTCAGCCTGCGAACTGAAAGATCCCAGGTTCGATTCCGGTCAAGGGCATGTACCTGGGTTGCGGGCACATCCCCAGTGACTGGAGATGTGCAGGAGGCAGCTGATCGATGTTTCTCTCTCATCGATGTTTCTAACTCTCTATCTCTCCCCCTTCCTCTCTGTAAAAAATCAATAAAATATATTTTAAAAAATCCCTTAAAAAAAAACTACTGAATTGTGCACTTTGCAAGAAGGAGTTTTATATTTCAATTAAAATTTTACTTTAAAAAAAAAAAAGAAATGCAGGCTAAAGCGATCAACCCCTGAGCAAAATGCAGGTGCACATGCCCTCTCTGATACTACGCACCCTAAAAAATGTTTAGAAGAAAACTTGGCTATAAAAGGGACACGCGGGGGGCAGTTGGAAGGGGATAAATACGTTGGATAATGGGAGTGACTTCACGTTTGTGAGTGCTGATGCTGCAGTAGAGATGTTAAAGGTAAGAAAAAGGCAGTTTAACGGGGATGCAGGAAGTGATGATGGGGTCTGAGGGCGTTTGTGTCAGACGAGGGTGGCTCCTACTGCAACATGGAGAAGGAGAGTGAGTACAGGCTTGGGGCAGGATTCAGGAAGGTGGGGGGTCCCATCCCAGGGCTTCTATTGGCTGATAAAGGGGAGCGCAGCCCACCTACTGAGAAAGGGGGGCCCACCAGTCCAGGGAGATGGAGTAATTTGAAATGGTGGGAATGCACATCTGGGGAAGTCCCTGGAAGGTATCTGCCTAACCCTGTTGTGCATGCATGCATGCATATACGCAGATGTGCGCATGCCACGTCATAAGCATGCATGCATCGTATCACCTGTACTCACACCTCACATGCATGCACATGGGTATGCACACACCTCGTAAGCATGCATGCACACCTGTGCCCATGCACACACACCACTTCCCCACCTGAAGTCCTCTCTCATAGCTTCTTCAGCAGACTTGCCAGTGACCCACCCACCTCTTCTTTGATAACGGGTCACTTTGTTCAGGGTTGGCACTGAGCCCCGCTTCATAAAAGGCATTTTCCAGCCTCCCTTGCAGCTAGATGTGACCACATGACAAGCCTCTGGCCAGGGAGGGAGGGAAGTGGCTGGTGGGCCTGCTGGAAGACCTCGCTAAGGGACATGGTCAGTGATGGCCCCTTCCTTCTGCATAACCCCTCCCGCCTAGACCACGGGCAGACATGACCAGGATGAAGACCAGGTGCTGAAGAGGGCCAGCTGGACAGAGAAAAGGCCCTCCTCCAGCCCAGGGGGCCGCTGTGCTGGGCCCCGCTGCCACCTGTTCTTGTCTGGGCCACCTGCCAGGCTTCCGCTACATGCAGCCATGCCCCATCCTGGGGCACTTGAGGCCAAGTCCTGGAAAGAACCCCCGCTGCACTGCCTGCTGGGTCTTAACCCCGGAGCCACCAGAGCGCGTCCGGTCCGCACACTCGCTCATCGCCCGTCCCCACGCAGCACACGGTGAGAGGAGCAGAAAGAACCAAAAAAGGAAAAGGATTGACTAAGCAAAGCTTGTATCTATTTAATAAGAAAATCATTTCCTTAAAAAAATAGTGTCTTTACACGCTGAGGTGTACAGAGTTCACGCTGAGCTGAGACAGACTGGCGGCCGGTTCTCCTGAGGGAAGCTGAGAACAATGTGGGTCTCGAGGTCCTGAGGTTGCGAGGCCACGCCTTGGGTCCCGTCTTGGCGAGGGATGTGGCCGGCGGCAGCGGTGGCGGCTCCTGGGGCACGTGTCTCCGGGGCGTCCCACTCAGTCACTGACTCCGTCCTCTTCGCTGCCTTCCTGGGGGCTGGGGACCTGCAGAGCAGGAGCAGAGGAGCCGCTGTGGGGGGGGCAGGCTGCCCGGGGGTGGGTGCTTCCTCCCGTGCAGGGAGCGGTCCCCGGTGCACCCCGAGCCACCTTCCAACCTGCCTTTTGTGGAGTGACGCCGGCATGACTTCTCAGACCGACTGATTTGGGGGGTGGGGGGGGTCCTTACAGGCCTCCTCCAAATCCCCAGAGGAGGCAGTGACGCAGGGGACATGAAGCCAGGTTCTCCCAAACTGGACAGTGCAGGCCCCTCCGCAGGGTGTGGGGACGGCAAGTGGGCAGCAGCCTGTTAGTGGGACTTGAGCAGAGGGCCTGGGCTAGCCCCGGTCCAAAGCTGCACACCAGTTCCATCTGCCCTCGCAGTGCTTGGGGAAATCTATATATATAAAAGCCTCAGCAACCAGCCGATCGCTATGACACACACTGACCACCAGGGGGCAGGCGCTCAATGCAGGAGCGGAAACCACAGGCATGGAAACATGGAACACACTGATGAATCTCAGAGGGAAGAGGCAGGGGGTTGGGGGGAGGGCGGGAAGAGATTAACCAAAGATCTTATATGCATACTAGAGGCCCCGTGCACAGATTCATGCACCGGAGGGGTCCCTCGGCCTGGCCTGCAGGGATCGGACCAAAGCCTGCTCTCTGACATCCCCCAAGGGGTCCCAGATCGCGTGAGGGTGCAGGCCACGGTGGAGGTGGGCCTCTAGTGAATAATAAACATCAACATTTGAAGAGTCGGGGAGTTCACATAAAATTCTGGCATTTTTCTCATTTCTCTTAGGAAAATGTGAGCAGCTCTGCCAACCCCAGGCCCACCGCCAACGTGGCCGCCACTGGCTGCTGCCTAGCTGCCGTCGCCCTACAGGTGAACAGGAGCTCCTGGTTTGCTACAGTCTCCACCGATCCCTATTGCCTCCCTGGCCTTGGCTGCCATTCATTAACCTGCCTGCTGCCCCTGTGCACCTACCTGCAGGGACAGTTTACAACTCCAGGTGTGGAGGATGACAATGTGTCCCAGATACACCTAGGTCACAGGAAGATACCCCCAGGGAGCCGGGGAAGGAGGGAGGGGGTGTCACCCGCTGCACCAGCAAGAGAGGACCTGTGCTGGCCGGCACTGGTCACTGCCAGTCACTGCCACGTCACAAACGGAAATACGCCGCCGTGCATGTCCCTCGCCCAGGGTCACCACATGTGGAGTGAGCACTAGGCAGTGTTTCAGGGTCACCAGCCACCTGGTACGTTGCCCCGGCCTGGTTTCTCCCCCTGCTGTGTGACCTGGGGGGAGTGATGTGCCTCTCTGTGCCCCAGCTTGCTCATGGCTACAATGGGCACGGTGACACCAGCACACAGTGGGCCAGAAGCTCAGCCACGGACGACAGACACGGGCGAGCATGAGACAAGCTCCTAGAAGGGCTATGCCCCCCACTCCGGCCCCCTGGCCCCGGCCCCCAGCCCCACCTTGGCGCCGGGGCGGGCTGCCGCGTGGGCAGTGGCGCTGAAGTCGTGCGTGGGCAGGGTGCTCAGCCACTGGGCCATGGACCTCTCTTGCCGCTCGGTGCCGATGATGGTGGGGTAGATGTGCTGCTCCTTGAAGGCCGCGGCCTCCGCCTCCTCCCGCGCCCAGTCCAGCGGCTCGTGCAGCCCGTCGCCGCCGAAGCGCCGGTTGTACGTCTCGAAGTGCACACGCTCCAGGACCAGGCCCAGCCCCGGCGCCTTGGGCACGTCCACCTTGGCCTCGCCCCAGCTGCGCTCCAGCACGTCCTCGGGCGCGTAGCCCTTGACGATGGCCACCACCAGGCCCACCATCTTCCGGATCTGGTGCGTCATGAAGCTCTGCCCCTTGACCTTGATGACCGCGAACTCCATGCCGTCCCGCTCGAAGGGCTCCTCGCAGAACATGTCCAGGACGTAGCGCTGGGCGCTGGGCTCCCGGGGCCCCTTCTGCGAGGTGAAGTTGTGGAAGTTGTGGGTGCCCTTGTAGCAGGCCAGCAGCCGGTTCACCTGCCGCAGCGTGTCGGCGCTCAGCCGGTACGTCTCGTCCTGCGCGTCGCGGTCCTTGTGCGCGAAGGCGAACGTGGGCAGCATGTAGACGTAGGTCCTGGCGTCGCACCTGTTCTTGGAGTTGAAGCCGCCCGTGACGCGCTTCAGTCCTGGGGGCGCGACGAGGACAAAGGCCTCAGACACGCCAGGGCCCTGTCCTGACACTGAACCCCGAACCCCACACCCGCGGGGACACGACGCGGTGTCTGCCAGACCGGGGCTGGCGAGGGGCTGGGGCCGGGGGCTCGTCAGGCGCGCCCTGCACTGACCCCAACGTGAGCACTTCAGTCGAGTGCGGCCGGGCTTACCCAATATCCGAATGTGAGACGGGAGGTGGCTGTTGATCTTTTCTAAAATGTCGTCAATCAGCCACACCTTCAGGGACACGACCTGCCCAGCTGCGGACACGCCCTGCAAAGGAAGCACCGGGTGTGAGGGGCCAGCTGGGGCCGCCCTGCAAGCACCACGCGGGGTCGCTTGGGCGGACGGCCCACGCTAAGGTTACATCTTTCCCCCGAGGAATCCTGCTTTTAGAGATGCATCCGCAGGGAATGACCAGGCACCAGAACAACGCCCTGTGTACCACGGGGGCGAGGGCCGCGTGACGTATGACATCGTGTCGATGGGAAAGAAAGTCCCGGCTCGGAGGTGACCCTTGGCCACTGGGGGAAATGGCCATGCAACTCAGGTGACAGAACGGTGAGGCGGAGCAGGGGATCCGTGGACGGTGGAAACCAGACGGCACGCCGCCTACCTTGTCTGTGCGGGCGCACCGCTGGAACGACATCTTCCTCATGTCCTCGCCGTGGTTCTCGGGAATACAGCCCGACCGGACCAGGGCCGACACCAGGTCATCCTCGATGGTCTTGAACTGCGAGGACCCGACATTCCTCTGAGGGAAAGAGAAGAGAAAACGTGGGTTTTCGCCCGGTCACCGACCACGAGAGAGGGCCCAGTCTGCTCCAGCAGGCAGGGGCAGGTGCAGCGTGCCCACGCCCGCAGCATGGGGACCGCACCTGTGGCCATGCAGCTCGTCCCCTTCCCAGGGGAAGCGGGGAGGCCACCTGAGGGTACCCAGAGTCTCCAGGAATCCCCACCCTGGGCAGCGGCGGAACAGCCCACAGCAGGTGTCGCCGTGTCCTGCACCTGCCAGCTCTGAAACCAGCCCCCTCCTGCCGCTGGACATGTCTGTCTGCGGCCCCCGCTGCAGAGGGACCCCCTCCCTCATCACTGTAGGGAGGCCGGCCCCTCGCTCAGAGGAACACACCCAGGATACTGCCAGCCGGGGCTGGGTTTGGCACGCCTGCCTTTCCTAAACCCGTCGTTTCATGCACAGCCTGTATGAAACAACTTGCCAGTTTAAATGAAACAACAAGTTGAAGTCTCTCTCTAAAAAACAAATAGTGATAACAACCCCCCCCCCCCACCACCTCAATCTGTCCTTCCGTCCGCCCTGTGTGCTACTGTCACTCTCCACCCATTTCCCTGATGGGGAAACTGAGGCAAATGGAAGATGACGGACCTTTCTCTCTAAATTCTTAATATGACAGTGCCCTAAGGCAAAATTCACATAACCAAAATCACCCTCAGAAAAGCATTCCGGGTCAAAGAGCAGCACAGGTGGTTGGTCTGCTCCCACAAACACCTGGGGCGACCACTGTCGGTCATGAACTTGGCTTCATGGTGCAGCCTATGCTTTTGAAAAATAAAACAGGATACAAGTAACTTCCTACCACCATTCCCAGTAAAGGTGACACCACCTTTTTCTAAACTTCCTTCACTTAGACACCCCGTCCCAGCAGTGAATTTATTTCTCACTGTGAGTCAGGCTGACCAGAGTTGAGCACCAGGAGCAAGAAAATCTACGTGCCTTTGGGGGGCACAGGCTGCCTTTCTCAAAAGGACCCAGTTGGGGAGCTGGGGAGAGACGCCTAAAAGGGCACCTGCTTGCCCACGGGCAGCTGACTCCAGGGAGCCTTCCTGGCTGCGCTTGGGTCTCAGGTCCCGGCATCCGCCGGGCACGGAGAGCGCCCATCACACGCCCAAGGCCAGGACCCTGGTCAGCGGCAGGGCCGGCCTGCGACTACCGTGTGGCCAGCCAACGCCCTGGTGCAGCATCTCCCATGGATGCAGCCAGGTCCAAGCGCTGGGGTTGCCATCTCGGCCTCGCCCGCAGCGCGGCGCAGAAGAGCGGGTCTCCGGCCCTTTCCCGAGGCGCCTCCCAGGAGCCAGAGCGCGGTCCCCGGCGAGCGGAGCGGCCCCGAGCCCCGCACCTGCATGCCGTGGTAGCCCTTCCCCGAATAGGCCATGAGCAGCACGATCTTGCGCTTGGGCAGCTTCCGGGGCTGCTCCCCGTCCTCGCCGCTGCTCTTGAGCTTCTTCGCCGGCTGCTCCGCGTCCTCCCAGACCCTGCCCCCGCCGTGCCAGCCGCTCCCGGCCTTCCCGTCCCGCTCCTGCCGGGGCGCAGGGGGCGCCGGGGCCTCCGCCTTCCCGGCCATGGGGGGCAAGCTGGAAAGACAGGAGGCGCTGTCAGCCAGGCAGACAGACGGCGCGCGGCAGGGGGGCCGACCGCTCGGGCGTGCACTGGACACCGGGCGGGTCGGGCGCGGGCATTACCCGAGCAGGCGCCGTCCCACGCGCGGCGTCCACGGTCCGCAGGCTCTCCGCAGGGCCCCGGCCGCCGCCCGCAGGCTGGGGAGCCCCATGCACGGCCGGAGGGGGACGCAAGCGCGACTCCTGACCTCCCCGGGGTCCCCGATGCCCAGCCTCGCCCGCGGCTACCCTCCAGCGTCCCCTGACCCCGGGCTGACCTCTGATCTCCCAGTTCCCCTTCTCCTCCCGCCCCACCCACCAGCTTTCCCTTGGAATTCGGGGAGACCGGGCCAGCCCCGCCGGGACCAGAGGGGCGCGTCCCCACCCGGCCCCACTCACGGACTGAACCCCCGCAAGACCACGTGGACGAAGGCGGAAGTGCAGCGCGCGGCCACGGCGGCCGAGTGAGGACAAAAGCCTCAGGGGCGGGGCTTGGGGGAGAGGGGGTGGAGTGGGCGTGTTTACGCCTTGGCTGGGGCGGGGCTTGGAGGAGAGGAGGTGGAGTGGGCGTGGTTAAGCCTTGGCTGGGGCGGGGCTTCCCGGATGCAGACTCCAGGGAGGTGGCAGGCCGGCGTGACTGCGGCTGCGCAGGACTCCCCAGCGCGAACACAGGGTCCTGATGCAACGTAGGGCTCTTCCCGGGTTACGCGGGTAAACGCGTGCATCTCTAGGGAGACGGGCGGGGACAACACCCATCCGTCACCTAAGCCCGCGTCATGGAGTCACAAATGCCCTGCGAAAGACGAATCGGAAGCACGGATGCCCCTTGTCACGTGGGCGCACTTGAAAACATGATGCTCAGATCCAAAGAGGTCAGATCCGAAGGCCACGTGGCGCGCGATACTGCGTGTGTGAAATGTCCAGAACAGGCCAATCAGAGGCAGAAAGTGGGTAGGAGGTGCTGCCAACTCCTCCAGCTCAGGAGTCTGACCCAGTGGGAAAGAGCTCACCTGTACCAAGGGACACCTCCTCGCCACCCCCCCCCCTCCACACACACACAGCCCTTCCCTCTGCAGAAGGAAAGAAATGGCTGCCTTTCCTGTCCCGGGGTGAGGAAAGCCAAGGTCACCTGTGACCCAGTGAGCTCAGGTGCCTGAGCAGCTTTAGGAAGCATCGGGCCACCCTCGCACAGCCCTCCCACCTCCTCCACATAGCACCCACCCTCACACAGAGCCCTATACACCTGCTCCCTCCTCAACCCCACCAGCTACAATGGATGATCTTGCATCTCCATTCTATGGAGAGTAAACTGAGACCTGAGGTTGGGACAGACAAGCTGGAGGCCACAGCTTGATACAGGGTGGGGGCCCAATCCCAGCCCTCCTGACTGAAGGGCCCTCGAGGGCCTGGCAGCTGAGTGTGCCAGGAACCCGCAGGGGACTTCGAGATGGTCCCACATGGTCCATGTACCCCCAGGCCCAGCACTCCTGGGCCCCCGGTCACCATCGGGCTCCTGCACAGGGATGTTTACAGCAACCTCATTCATGATTCCTCCAACTTAGAAGCACCAAGATGTCCTTCAGCAGGTGCACGGGTAAGTAACCATTTAGAAAGAGCACTGTCCAGCCAGCGTGGCTCAGTGGTTGAATGTTGACCTATGAACCAGGAGGTCATGAGGTTGGATTTCCAGTCAGGGCACATGCCTTGGGTTGTGGGCTTGATCCCCAGTGGTGGGGGGGCGTGCAAGAGGCAGCCAATCAGTGATTCTCTCATCATTGATGTTTCTATCTCTCCCTCTCCCTTCCTCTCTGAAATATATATACATACATATATATGTATATGTATATGTGTATATATATATTTAAATTTAGCAACGAAAGGCCAGGACTGTCTCCATCCCATTGGGCATTTGGTACTCTCATACTAGGAGCCCACAGAGCAGACAGGCGGGCTCGGGCTTCCTGTCTGGAGAGGAGCCTTGCACTTGAGGAAGCCGCCTGGAGGAGGCCCCACCTTCACTTCCTCCAGTGCTACCTCTCCATGAACTTTCGCTTCATATTGTGGTGAGCCTTTTTGGTCACTGAAGCTATTTTTAACTTATGTACTTGAAAAAGATGCAAAGCCTACCACTCCACATTAGAAAGAGGTCCCACCTGATTACAGTAAGGCCACAGCCTGGAATAAACATCTCCCCAGGAAGACAGAGCTGTGGCCAACGAGCGGTAGGAAGACGCTTGAGGCCACTCATCGCCCAGGCGCGTGCGAGCCTGCATCACAGCGCACGCGGAATCACGCATGGAGGCTGGGGGGGCGGGGGCACCGGGGGGATAAGGACACGTATGTAATACCTTCATCAATAAAGGAAAAAAAGAATGCAGGCGGACCAGCCCTAGGGAGGATGTGAAGAAATCGGTGGGGACGGAAGTTGCGTGGCTGCCGTGCAGCCTGGCGCTGGTCCTTGTACACGACCTGCATTCCCCTCCTAGGTGAACCCCTGAGAACCCAGAGGCAGGCGTCCCAGGTGAGGAGGTTCCACTGGGACATGGCCAGGGGGACACAGCCACGAACCCCAAGCCTTGCCCTGAGGGATTTGCTCCCCAAGCCTCCTTGCCCTGGAGGTGGCTCCCTCAGACGAACCTGGCCTGTGTGCAGGGCCAGTCCAAGGTGCTGCAGGACGCTGGCGGGGGAGAGCTGCAATAGGCCTGAAACAGTGACCAAGCAATCATCAGTAACAGCAGCTCAACAATTCCAAAGGTTTATTTCCTTAAACTGATATTACACAATTAAACACAACTGGGGAGGGATCGCACAGATCCCTTCTGAAGTAGACTGAGTTGAGCGCTGTCTCCTGGAGAGCAGGGCCGGCCGGGCACGGACCAGGAGGCACACGGGCACGCGTGGTGCCACAAGTGAGGGGCAGGAAGGAGGCCCCTCCCGCAGCGCCCGCCTGCTGGCAGCCCTGGAGTCCAGCCGACCATAAAGCAATAAATAGGAACGTGTCCTGTGCAGCAAGGAAAGAACAGAGTCACAGGGCTTCTTCCAGGTCCAAGAACAGGGCAATTTCAAGTAGTATTGGGAGGAACACCCATAGACCTGCTGGGTCTGTGCTGCAGACCTTAAACCCCTGGCCGGATGCCGGGACTCGCCCAGGCGTCCCCCGAACTCTGGGGGTGCACTCGAGGGGGCGAGGCAGAGCTGGGCAGCCTGGGGAAGCCCCCTCTACCCAGAAGGTGGGCCTCCCTGACCCCTCAGATAGCAGCCGGGACCTGGGGAGTAGGGAGGAAGGAGGGAGGGATTTGACATCAAAACCGACTGGGAAAGCCAGATGGGGAGGTTTTTGCACAAAACACTCCCTCTCACCTGCCCCCCATCTCTGTGGCAGGAACCCCACTCCCCTACTGGTGGGACAGCAGGACACCCAGCCACGCAGCGTACCTGCTGCCATGCCCCTCCCACCTTCCAGAACAAAACGTCTAAACACCTATGAGTTTCTTCTTTAAACAAAAAAAGAGCTGCAGAAAAATAAGACACATTTGATGAGTAAAGTGTGAAAGACTGCCACGTCTGCTCTGGTTTAGAAAGCTCGGTGCGTCATACTGTGTGTTCCTAAAAGAACATTTAAATAGGACGCTGTGCCTCCCCGAGGGCAGCCGCACAGCAGGCTATGTATATATGTATATATGTATATGTATGTACACACGCCTCGAGGGCGACCCTGGGCGGCAGTCCTGGGGCCGGGCCTGCATAAAGTGCTCGTGACTCAAAGCTGGGTGGGTCCCGGGAGGAGGGGCCGGGCAGGTGGGAGGCTTTGGCTTAGTGGGCCCTGCTGCTCCTGGGCAGGGCTGCTGGGCCGCCGGGGCCGCCAGGGGACGGGCCTGGGCTGAGGCCTGTGCGGCCCCCGAGTGCCCTACACCCAGTGCCAGCCAGAGCCCGGGAAACAGATGTGGCTGCAGACCCAGCTCCGGACACTGGGCAGGGACCGTCCTTCCCCAGCTCCCGGGAGGAGGACCCCGGCTTCGGGCTTGTCCTTGCGGCCCACCCAGGGACCCGCGGAGAAGGTCCAGCGCTGGGCCCAGCAGGCAGGCTCCAGGTCAGGCACACACACCCGGTCAGCAGGGCCCGGTCAGTAGGGCCGAGAGTCTCCGCTCGATGCACAGCTTGCCTGTGGGAGGAGGCCCGTGAGTGCTGCCCCCGCCCCGCCCGCCCCGCCCGCCCCGCGGACGCCGCACTCACACTTGGCGATGTTCTCCGCGTCGGCCGGGTCCGAGAGCAGCTGCCGCAGCCCCTCCATGAGCAGCAGGGCCTTGTGGTAGCGCTGCACGCAGTCCTCGCGGCGGTGGAACATCTCGTCCAGGGCGGCCGACTGCACCTGCGGGCCAGGGGTCGGGCGTCTCACAGGGGCCCGCGTGGCCGCGCAGCCCCAGTGCTCCGGCTGGACCAGCAGCGGCCTCGCCCCCAGGAGAAGGCAGACTCTAACCGCCCAGTCAGCCATCTCAGCAACAGGCACTGCCCACGGGAGCTCTTTGGGCAGAAGGACCCAAGGCCTCGGCAGCCGCCCCGGCAGGCCCGACTGGGGAGCTGAGTCTCCGGGAGCGCGTGGCAGGGATGCGCCTCCGCCCGCCTGCCTGCCCGCCCACCCGCCCGCCCGCCGGCCGCGTGCGCTGACCGTGTGCACCGCGTGGCTGAAGATGAGCTTCTCGGCGGAGACG